TGGCTGCCTGTCGGCCATGTTGTTTATCCGATCAGTCTCAAAAGTTGCCCTGCACAGCTAAGGACCAAGGGGAACCTACATATAAAATTTGAGAAAGATCCCTCTGATACTTCCCGAGAAATAGCGATAACAAACTTTCAATATCAAAATCAAAGATGGCTGCCTGTCGGCCATGCTGTCTATCTGATCAGTCTCAAAAGTTGCCCTGCACATCTAAGGACCAAGGGGAACCTACATATAAAATTTGAGAAGGATCCCTCTGATACTTCCCGAGAAATAGTGATAACAAACTTTCACTATCAAAATCCAAGATGGCTGCCTGTCGGCCATGTTGTTTATCCGATCAGTCTCAAAAGTTGCCCTGCACAGCTCAGGACCAAGGGGAACCTACATATAAAATTTGAGAAAGATCCCTCTGGTACTTCTTGAGAAATACTGATAACAAGAATTGTTTACGGACGACGGACGGCGGACCACGGACCACGGACGCAGGGTGATTTGAATAGCCCACCATCAGATGATGGTGGGCTAAAAATGTATGCACACATTCCGACAATATGTCTTGTAGAAACATATGAAATACATACCAGATATGTATAGGTGTAAACATTGGCAATTATTAGAGCAGGGTGTTTATTTAACAAATGATACCTGACAATCGTTTTTCTTGGAATAATTCAACAGTAGAATATGTTCTAGCTCTAAAATCCATGAAGAACAATAATTCAAATTCGTATTTCTTTACACTCTTCTTAAAACACAGTGTGATTTTGAAGATAACAGATAACATGAAATTCTCCATCATCAATCTCTAACTGAAGTGTGATGACAGGCTTTGTATACAAGCATTAAAACTTTTTTCAAGCTTTTGTTACCTTAGAAATGACATGAGAAATGAGTTTGTATTTCTCAGTTATGTCCCCTGCCTCTGTGAGTGGAGCATCATAATCATAACTGGTGGGAACCGGTAAGTAGGGCAGGTCATCTGCTCCTGTGTAATGGAAAGGCAGACATTTAGCTATACAGATCATGTAATCGTAGCTTGTGGGCAGGGAAGGTCGTCAGGGCCATAACCCTGTATAACCCTGTATTTAGTGGGGCACCAGACCTGATTTTAGTATGGTACAATCCCTCATCCAAAGAGGTACTCACATTCAAACTTTGGTAATCACAAGGTGACAGAGTGTATGAAATATACCACAAAAACAGATTATGCACTGGCAATTTTTTTCTGACTGATTCAACCCTTCTGTATCAGCCTCATACATGTATATACCTGTGACTTACCATTCCAGTATCCAAAGTTTGTACCACCCTCAAACATATACCTGTAAATGAAAAAAAAACATAAGTAAATTCATTATGTACATAAACTTGTTTGTGTTTTAAATACTCTACACTTTTACAGTTACACAGTGTATAACACGACACACACAATATGTAATTGTGATAGAACAGTGACAGCCCAGTATAAGTCTACCTACATGACATGAAATCTATTGAAAACAAATCAGAACTCACATGTTGACATTGGCTCCGTACTTCAGGAGAAGGTCCAGCGTCACGGACACAATCAATTTATTGACCGTCTCATGTTTGTGGCCCCAGTGGTCAAGCCAACCTGTATAGAACTCTGAGTTCACCTAAAACAGCAAGTGTTTAAAAAATGCAACCAGACTCTCATTTCTGATCGACTCTTATTTCTTACTGGTCATGATCATAATACATATCACTACAACAGTCAGGTCAATGCTTTTAGAGAATTTGAATTTCCTGTAAATATTTGAATATTTGAAATTTGATTTAATACCTTATAGTAGCAAAGACATTACACCAATCTCTCCCAGAATGGAGTGTAGCACAAGGAAATCTGGTCCAACCATTTGAAATGTAATAAACGAAAATGGCCCCTGTCTAGCTCACTGCAGGCAAAAAACTCCAATGTACTTTTTTAAAATCAGTAACCCCCCATCCCATCCGTAATTCTTCATTGTAAATATGAATGTAGCACAACTGTGCAAGGCTCATATACAACATATGTAGCCGAGTTGGTCAGAACAACAGTATACACTTCAAACACAGGTGTTATTTTTTTTCAATTCATCTTTATTATTTTTTAATAGAAGTTCTGCAAGGTATGGTTTTCTTTTCAGAAATAATTTATCAAAGTTATAAATCATACTCGGAAAAATGTTCCAATACATATAGCTGTAGTTCTTGGCAGTGGTATGGGGATCCTTAGTTACACATTATAACTGTTATTTGAGTTATAGCTACAGCTGTCTCTGCTTTGCACATTTCCCTGTAATTTGTTTGTCAGAGAGTTTTCCACCTCAGAAAAAATAACAGATTACCCCAGTGTTAACATTTCTAACATTTCATTGCAAATAATTAACAAATTTCTTAACTTGGAACTTTTATATAAAAGTGATAAATATCTCAATAAAAAAAGTATGATTACAAACCAAAGGTCCATTGGGCTGATATTTTCGCAATGGTCTAAATCCTCTTTCTGGGCTGTCTAAAATATAAATACATTAATATTCAGTATCATATTGCGAGGCGTCAAACAAACAATTAATTGATGAAAAATTGACAAAATCTAAAAACAAAGTTAAAAGGATGAAAAGTGGCACAGCACTTCGGTTTTATGACCAATTGTTGTACTGGAGAAGTACCTAATCAACCTTTTACTTCAATTTACGGAATAAACAACAACTTCTTGCACTAGTGTAAATGTACCTGACAAAACATTTGTGAGATATTCGATTTAATTATTGACACATTTTGTGATTAATTAACACGAACATGTATTTATAATATTAAACATGAATGAGTAATTGTTGCCTACTTACTAACAGAGTTTACTAAAGTCAGCTTGTACAATAAAATGACAAGTAGCTCATTGGTAAGGAGAACGTATGTATGTATACGTATCTTATACACTTTGAGCAGTATCATTGAAAAGTGGGGGTGGCAAGACTTACACAAGGCTCCAAAGTCTGTAGTCGCAAAAATTCCTGGTATAGGGCCACATTTAAAGTTCGAGTCCAATGTACCATCAGTCGTAAACAGTAGGACTTCATCTTGTAGGTGAAAAACAAATTTGTCACGGAGATGAGAGGTGTAGTTCCTGTCACAGGCATAGTAACTCCCGTACTCATTCTCTATCTGGACCATGATCACCGGGCCTCCGTTACTGTACAGTAGGGGGCGGAGCATCGGGAGCAGCTTGTCAAACCAGAGGTCCACATAATGGATGTATGCTGACAATGAAAAGAAAGATGATAACTAGAGTCATAGGCTTGGCAACATGTTCATACATATATCTTGATATTAGTTTATTGTCTTCTGTCTTTTAACTCATTCACCCCTGAAATATCATGATAAAATATTTCAACTTTTGAATTGGAAGATTTAAGGGTGAATGAGTTAATTAAAATGCAGCAGATAACAGTATGCTATTAACAGTCGGTGACAGTGAGAATCATAGCTTTCCTGTTGCCGACATCATACTAAGAGACAATCAGATTAACTCTACTTGAGCATTTTAGATACCTCTATGAGACTAAAGGATAAATAAAATTGATATTGCTTTGCAAACCAGTATCATAGGACCTTGTAATCAGGGGTCCGTCTTAGGCAGATGACTTTGAGTTTGGTTTGGTTTTATATTGTATAAGCAATAGAAAACGATATACAGAAACTTCCATTAGTGCAGTCATAATTTAGCGCAATGTTTAAAGTGTGAAAAGTGCTAAAATTAGAAATCCGCTAAAATACCTGTGTACTTTCACAGTGTACAGATAACATTGGAAATCATGTGCCCCTTACAAACAAATGACCTTGTAATCAGGGGTCCTGTTAATTTAGATGACATTTGGAGTTAAGTGACTGTTATGGACAAACGGTCTGCTTTAGACAGATGACCTAGAGTGTCAGGTGCCCTCTGCAGACAAATGACATTAGGATTCAGGCATTCTTTATAGACAGATAATCTTGTAATCAAGTGTTCTATATATAGACAATGACCCTGAAAACTTGTTGCAAATGGTACTACAATGGTGTACAAGGAAATCTACTCACTTGGGTCCATTGTCCTAAAAACTGTGTTTGGATTCTTTTGTAGAATCCAGGCCGGCAATCCTCCCTGAAGCATATAATTACATAAATATATATAAGAAATTGTTTACTTTATCATTAATCCCATTTAATAATGTTGTCTATAGACCTACTGTCAAAAAACCACATCCAGCACCGACACCTATATTGAAATATGTAACGAACACATAACAGTGGTTTATATGCAAATATAATATTAGTACTATTATGAATATCTTATTCCAGCAATTACATGAGATCAACATTAAAATATATATACACATCCAGAATTTACAGTACAGTTGAAGTAGGGGTGAAAGGAGGTAGTATAGGGTGGGGGTAGAGGGCATGTTAATTCAATGGGTACTGTATCTATAGTAGGTTCTAATACCCCTTCAATTATGTTTCGTCATAGGTGATGAGGATACTAAAAAAACTCCCTGAGCTTCCATTCACTTAATGTTTGAATATATCCTTAAAACCAAACAAAAATTTACAAGATAAGTTATTACGTATACAGTCACACAATATATGAATAATTGATTTTATTTTAATATTCTATTCCTTCCCGTAATGTTTAATTCATATAACCAAAAAACTTGGATATTATTACATCATTTTATTAAAAAGCATTCCTTAGGAAAAACATTTTGCAAAAACTTAATGTTTCATCAATGCGATTCGCACTGGTTTCCTTACCAAAGGAAAGATATAACAATAACTTTAAATCGTAAAGTTTTTAGACTAAGAATGAGTTTATCCTACTTTTAAAAGCGTCTTCTGTCTTCCTATGGTACATGAAGCGAACTGTCAGAACACAAAGACAGTTTAAGCGTCTAGGTTGTATTGCGACTATATGCTATTTAAATACATACAAGCAGGGAATACCCTTTAGTAAACTGATGCACTGAGTAAAAGCAAAATAAGCAATATATTAAACATACCATAATCAGTTCTATCTCCTACATGTGTATAGTTACAAAATAAAATCATGGCAACATATAGAAAACATGAAACCTACAAACTCCCACTCTCCATCAATATATGGCCCAGCTCTCACGACAACCAGCAACCCAATCTCATTGGCCATGGACATGAATCGCATCACATCATTCTGTCCCTCAAAGTCAAATGTGTTCTCTGTTGGCTGATGAACATTCCATGGAATATACCTACAAAAATATATTTTCATTGTTCTCAGATAGAAAATATCAGTTCCTCCATCAAGCCATGGACAATCAAGCTCTATCTTCAATTTGTACCATTTCTTTTGATGTTAAATAATGTCACAAAATGTCTGCTTTCGAAAATGTAATAGCTTGTTACCGGGTAAATCAAATTGGAGTCAGGGTTAAGTTTAAGTGTACATGTACTGTCAAATGTTACTGGTCAGGATCTTAACAGAAACCGTAAATGCAAGGATTTACAGTATCAGTATGCTATTAAACATGTAGAGAATACACAGGTTATACACCAATTTTGACTGATCCCATCAATACTCACAGCTGAATTGCATCCAAACCTGCTGCATACATCTTGAGGAGTCTGTCTTTCCAGTAGTCCTGAGGTACCCGACTGTAGTGGATACTCCCAGATACATAGCGGAACGGCTTCCCATCCTTCAGGAATGTATTATTCTTATAATCTACAGTGAAAGTCCTGGTAGGAACCTACAAAAATAAACCCACTGTAAATGTCATTTTAAAACTACTTGAATCTTAAAATGATTTCTTTCTGAAACATGAATGTGTAGTGGAGCTAGACTGTGTCATTTGCTGGTGATAAGGAAGCTCAATTGTGTGAGTGTCCATTTAGAGTTTGGAGGGTCCTTGTTTGAAGCCCGGTCTGGACATTTATTTTCTCTCTCCTGTTACAGATATTAATGCATCATAGAATTATTTATTATTTCAAAATTTATGATCTTAACAGAAATGACTGTAAACAGCTCAGACCCATCAACACTTGATAAATGGTCTGCTGAAGTTATAATTCACTTTTTTAACTTTATTTCCTCTTGAAAAGGTACAAAGGCACACAATCATGAATAACATTGAATACTTTATATCTGTCATTGGATATATATATGTCTGACTCTATTCATCATATAAAATCACACAAAAAATAATTGCATCTCCTCCCCATTACCTCTCAATTTCTCAACCAGTATTGAGTACCTGGGCTTTTGTCTAATAAATTGTGTGCCCTAGCCCAAGTTTTCTCTGGCCCTGACACAAGACTTAGACATTTTGACAGATGGTTGTATCAGGTGTACATGTGGTACAGTGTATACATGTATATGTTGCATCATATATAGTGTAGATTTTTGTTGTCAGCACCTCTAAACTTACTCCAACAGTGTTAGATGTTTCTCACGGCGAGATACTTTTGACAGGCGGTCGCAGTCAGCAAAATCATATCCAATAGAAAAAAGGCCGACCAGCAGCCACTTATGTTATTGGAGTACTCTAAACTTAGTGATACTAAACGGTTTCGGAAAACCCCATGTTTTCATATAGTAGTGTGCTCTGGCCCCACACCAGACATCTATCTGTCAAAATGTCTAAGTCTGGTGTCAGGACCACTCAGGCTATGTGTGTCCCTGTGGTCGAGGACGTTGGGCTTCTTCTTCCTGATACGAGTCGTACTCAGCTTGAGTGTATTTGACTCGGCGTAGCTCAAGACGATAACAGTACGCCACCAATTAAAAACAGGGTAAAAGAAAAATCAGGCCTATAATCTAAAAGTTAAAGCTATGTACCCTGGATTTATGCTGTTTACTACAGTTGGTGTGACTGGGGCTAGGGGGTTGTACTCAACCTGTTACCTCACGCCTCTGTGCCTTTTCAAGAGGGTATTAATTAATTAATGCCCCCGAGGGCATAAACATCAACATTGATGGAGCCCCCGTAAAATAAAGAAGAAGAGGAAATAGAGTTATAGGACTACAATACGACAGGTCAATTGATAAGAGTATAGAGAAACAAAGCTTTACGTGTAGACATTGCACCATGTGGTAAACGCACCGTAACTATCGATGAGAAGCTGAAAATAACACTGGGAAAACACAACGTAACGACCAACACATTCAATAATGCCGCCATTTTGGACACATTTCGGGATCGTCACATGACGGCCTCACATGACCAATAGAAAAAAGGCGCGTTCGATTCGATAGACAACCAAAGAACCCAGCAGTATGCTTTTATTTCATTAGATTGTCGGTTTAAGTTTTATCGCTGTTATTCCAAAATTTATCAATGTGTACAGAAAATTACGAAGACAAATTTTGTTACAACATATTTTTGTATTATATATATATCATGTCCAAATCTCATAGTTGAACACCCTACATTTAAAATGAAAATATTGATATTCTGTCAACGGAAAACCTTTGCCTATCCCATATCTATTTTCCAAAAAACAACGAAAGCCAGTAACTTCATACTAAGAATTGTTTTTTACGGTCTGATTAAAAGATATTAACATTATAACAATCACGAACAATTAAGCTTTCCCAACTTATAATAATCAATATTGACGACACGGATTGAAGCGCGCAAAATTAATGTGGGAGCTAACCGGAGAACCCACCTTTCAAACCCAATAGGGGGAATCTTATTTAAAAATTCAGATTTTTATTCATTACCCATACGAATAAATATATATTCTTTAAATGCTATGTAACTTTTGGTCGTCAACTGTTTGGTTTATTTATAGTATACTTAAGTTGGTCAAGATAACTTTTACCAATATTTTTTTTTAATCATAATTAGGTAAAACACAAGGGGGAAAAGTTGTTCAGCCTCTTAAATATCCTCTATCGCCACAAAATCCCGTCATGTTATATAAGACAAAAACCGCGAAGAAGCGGCATTGTTTGTCCACAATTAGCAAGGTTTTTTATCTTGCTTTTTTGGGGGCACATACTGCGTTTTGTCAAGGCGAAAAAGAGAACGTGCCTCCATGTGTATTGTATATATGTGCATGTGTCTACGTGTGCCTCCTTTCGATAGCGCGGATCTGATGCCGACTTTAAAGTGATATATCACTGAAATACCATGCCGTAGGTACCCAGCATAGCATTCCGCCCGGTCACATTTTAATGACAACGGATGAACCAGTTGTTGCCATTACCCTAAATGCTGAACGTTAAGCAGGGAATAACAAGTACCGTTTGTAAGGACTTTGGTATGCTCCGGCACGGGTACAGAACCGATTGCCTACCCCACTTGGGCCAGCTGAGGTATTACTATGGCGCTAGGAACTAAAAGACTGTTCGAAGGAGACAGAAATAAAAAGATCCCAAATATTACAACGGATGCTATATGATTATTTTTGGCGCTTTTGTGTCCTCAAGTTGGGGGCACAAAAGCAAATCCTCGTCAATTTTGCAGGGTTTCCCAGTCCAGTAGTCGCCTCTTACGATACACATGCAGTGGGTAACAGCAGGTGTATTCTTTTCTCGATCCCCGACCTGCAGTTCATGATCAGAGGACGGTCACTCAACCAATACATTGTCCTAGTTGATGACGTATATTGATATTATAGATCAGTATTAATATACAATTTTATAAACGAGGTAAAATAGAACAAGTAAAATTGAAAACCAGTGATCGCGTCAATGATTGTCTATGATAAATGCGGTACTTTCTACACGACAGTTATAGACACTAAAAGGCAGTATTTAAGATTTAATGGCACACGTTCTGTACTAGACACAAGCTAGCTAGCTAAATCAGGGTATAACTGGGTAAACTATTGTCGTATCCGTCCGGACATCCGTTCCATCTTTTTGCTTAGACAATTATAAGTTCCGAACGACAAGATACTTTTTATTGTAACTAATAAAGCAATGATTTTTTTTGTTATAATCCTATAACATACATTGCTATTGATGACACAATTAATATGCTTTATGTAAGTTTTACAGAAATAGAAATGTGTGTTATAGGATCATAACAATATATATTTGCTAAAATATTCATTATTTATATTAACATTTTGATAGAGCAGTTACGCTTTATTTAGTTTTTTCGAACAGTTCTTTGAACAGCAAATTAAGTCTTGACAACAAAGAAATTGATGACGTCACAATATAGATTGATGACGTTGCAATAGCAAATATTGGTATATACAGTCTCATAACAACATTTGCCTTCTCAATGCATTGCAATGGAAGGAAGCAGAGCTAATGTAAATATATCTTCAAGGATGAATATATGGGATAACTGGCAGTTGTTTCAAATGTCAGTTTAAATAAGGTCAATACTCTAAAGGTCAGGGTCACAGTAATAGGCCAGCTACCTATTTGATGCCTGTCCGAGCAATTGCTTTTGTTCAACGAAAAGTTACTTCATAGTATAGGTGTTTTGTACTAGATTAGACATTGTGTCAGTGCCAGATCTACATCCTACCATCAAGGTCATAGGTCACAAGAGGGTTTCAAAGATAAAGTCTTTATAAAGTTTGACGGGAAACAAAATTTGAAATGTTCACATTTTTTACATGGACATATTGACGGATTTATCATGAATATAGACAGTGTGTTGTGTACCACTCTCATAGTACTTTCATCTTCAAGGTCACAGCTAGGCCACAGCCAGGAGAGAAATGTCATATCGTTTTTAAGCTTCACCGAGCAGATTTTTAATGATTTTGTTACAGATAAATTATCACTAGAAGATGACCAAAAGTTGTAATTGACATTTTCTGGTCCTGTCATGTTTAAAATTGTATGGGATGAGATATTTTAAAGAAAGTATAATAGTCAATGTGAATGACAACTGGAACTGGTAATTCGATACTTACATGGGTACAGAGACAAAGTGTGCAAAGGTAGATTACATATTGTTTCATGGCTAGACAATGTGTCACAGCAGGTGACACGTATTGTATTATGACTAGATTATGTGTCACAGCAGGTGACATATATTGTATTATGACTAAATAGTGTACCACAGCATGTGACATGTATTGTATTATGACTAGTTTATGTGTCACAACAGGTGACATATATTGTATTATGACTAGATAGTGTATCACAGCAGGTAACAAGTATTGTATTATGACTAGACAATGTGTCACAGCAGGTGACAAGTATTGTATTATGTCAAAGCAGGTGACATGTAATATACCATGACTAGACGATGTATCACAGAAAGTGACATGTATTATATAAGGACTAGATAATGAGTCAAGGCAGGTGACATTTATTGTATCATGGCAACATACGGTGTCACAGCAGATGACATGTACTGTATCATGGCCACATACGGTGTCACAGCAGATGACATGTATTGTATCATGGCACATACGGTGTCACAGCAGATGACATGTATTGTATCATTGCCACATACTGTGTCACAGCAGGTGACATGTATTTTATTATGACTAGACAATGTGTGACAGCAGGTGACAAGTATTGTATTATGAATAGATAGTGTATCACAGCAGGTGACAAGTATTGTATTATGAATAGATAGTGTATCACAGCAGGTGATATGTATTTTATTATGACTAGACAATGTGTGACAGCAGGTGACAAGTATTGTATTATGAATAGATAGTGTATCACAGCAGGTGACATGTATTGTATCATGGCCACATACTGTGTCACAGCAAGAGACATACATTTACTGTTTTTGTCCTTTGTAGGGAAGATTTTCCTAGGTTACATGTAAAATTTTATATAAACTTCGACTGTACAAAAACTGTTATGTCACAATATTTGTGTCATTCTAGATACACATTTTATTTACTATGTGTATCATGATTCACTTCTTTGGTTTCTGAATTGAAGGGTTTGTGTGACATGGTTAAGGGAAATAATAATGATGAATATTGAGAGTGAAAAAGGTTCTATAGTTCGTGATGTTTGATTATCATGTTTATGTAACTCTTTCTTAGTAGTTTACCGTTTGAAAAATTCAAAAGATGGTCAAACCTGTTCATATTCCTTTGCATTGTTTTAAGAGTTAACAAACAAAGTTAGATATACATATGATAGCCAATCAGGTTCCAGTTTTACTGATTGAGGGACCTCTTCACAATTTAAAAATGAAAACAAACAAAAGAGCATGTCAATCATAACAATGTTTAAAAACTTTTTTTATTGCACTTTGTCAAAAGGTCGAAAATATAAAGTTAAGTGAACTATTAAATCATAGCTACACAGTTTGTACTTATATATAGACAATTACACTAATGAAGATATACAGACAGCACTGTTATACAGAAGTTTGTACTGATATATAGACAATTACACTAATGAAGATATACAGACAGCACTGTAATACAGAAGATATACAGACAGCTCTGTAATACAGAAGTTTGTACTGATATGTAGACAATTACACTAGTGAAGATATACAGACAGCACTGTAATACAGAAGATATACAGACAGATCTGTAATACAGAAGTTTGTACTGATATGTAGACAATTACACTAGTGAAGATATACAGCCAGCACTGTAATACAGAAGATATACAGACAGCACAGTAATACAGAAGATATACAGACAGCACTGTAATGCAGAAGTTTGTACTGATATATAGACAATTACACTAATGAAGATATACAGACAGCACTGTAATACAGAAGTTTGTAATACTGCTTGGTAAAAAGTAGAACAGAAACTTCAAAATATAAAAATGGAAGTCAACAAATGCACTCAAGTATATGATATAACCAACTTAAAAGGTAAATCACAGGGTAAGTGTTAATCTCACTGTATCATTTCCCCAATTAACCTAATGATGAAATGATCGACTCAAATATGTTCATCAGTTGAGGTGACACAAGTGTCCTAGGTTGTAGACAACAGTTCAGATACAAACAGTCAATACAACAGTCTCTAACATCTTACAAGTGTCTTGTTTGTTTTCTCCAAAAGCATAATGTTGAGTCATGGCAGTGAAATCTGAACAACATCAAAGATGAAGGTTGATGTGACCTTGAGAAGATGTCATGGTGACATAGAGTTGACTTAGAGTTGACTTCAAATGGGTTTTTTCCCCTGAGATCTTGTGATGCTATTATTGATGGAATCATTGACAAAGTTAACAAATAAGGTCAAGGTTGATGTGACCTTGAGAATGTTGTTGTGGTGCCGTTGATGAGGGGCTGATCGACAAAGCTGACACTACAGGGACTACTAGACTCACAGGGAGCCTTCTCCAACTCTAGCATGACCAGTGTGTTGAGTCGAGAGTTACCGTGTAGGTAGGGCCGCGGGACATACATCCTCACCTGAGGTCCCGCTGTGGGCCAGTAACGACCTAAGTTGATCTCACCCTCCAACAAAGCTTGACCCTGCAATTGACACAATGCACAAATAGTTTTAGTGGTAATTCACAATTTTAGGAACATCTTGCATTTTCTCTAATTTACCAAAGTAAAAAATTCAGGTTCCATCTAAACGATGTCATCTGTCAATTCATATTACACTACAGATTATAATTTTGGACTTCATTGACCAGAAAATTAGCATTTTTGGCACTTAATTGGTGTATATTTATATACATGAGTATTGATGGCTGTAATGAGTCCATCCTACATGGATGCACACATTTTTATCTAGGTTTATACATTATATTTCCAGTGAATTACATGTCTTCAAGAAATAATACATAAATAGTATTAAGGTATCCCTACAGCTTATCCCTCTGGTAAGGTACAAGGGTTCCATATTGTTCCATAAGAAACTGAACAACAATATCATGTGACATAGACAAATAATATTATATAGAAGCTATTGATTCTCTCTGTTGTGACTGACCTTTGACCATCCAGTCATGTCCAGGTAGGTATCCTGGGGGTCTCCACTGATGGTCAGTTGTCCGACATATATAGAGGGGACCCTGGTGTCTGGAACAGATGTGGATCCTTTCCTGTAATATACAAGGAATTCTAATATAACACTAAAACATAATGGAAAGTATGAGAAACTGAGATTTTAAAACTAGATCTGTCTTTACGTTTATTCCATATATATGTTCTAATATTACATGTCCTGATGTTATATGAAAGGGATACACAAATATTATTTAAGTCTTTAATATTACAACCCAACAGCATTAACAGGTATTACAATAATACATAAACATTTTAAGCAACACAAGGAAAATCAGCCTCTTTTTTATTTTATTTTCCTTTACTCTCATGTTTGAACATACCATTGAGCCAGCGTGGTCGTGTCAATGTTCTCTGGTAAAATAGGAAAGATAACCCAATCCTGGAGTACCTCACCTCCTAGTGTGACATCCTGTATTATCCCCTGTAAATATCAATGATCATATTCAATAAACAGGGGAGATAACCCAATCCTGGAGTACCTCACCTCCTGGTGTGACATCCTGTATTATCCCCTGTAAATATCATTATCATACTCAATAAACAGGGGAGATAAACCAACCCTGGAGTACCTCACCTCCAAGTGTGACATCCTGTATCATCCCCTGTAAATATCATTGAGCATACTCAATAAACAGGGGAGATAACCCTATCCTGGAGTGCCTCACCTCCTAGTGTGACATCCTGTATTATCCCCTGTAAATATCATTATCATACTCAATAAACAGGGGAGATAAACCAACACTGGAGTACCTCACCTCCTAGTGTGATATCCTGTATTATCCCCTGTAAATATCATTGAGCATACTCAATAAACAGGGGAGATAACCCTATTCTGGAGTACCTCACCACCTAGTGTGACATCCTGTATTATCCCCTGTAAATATCATTGATTATATTCAATAAACAGGGGAGATAACCCAAACCTGGAGTACCTCACCTCCTAGTGTGACATCCTGTATTATCCCCTGTAAATATCATTATCATACACATTAAACAGGGGAGATAAACCAACCCTGGAGAATGTCACCTCCTAGTGTGACATCCTGTATCATCCCCTGTAAATATCATTATCATACTCAATAAACAGGGGAGATAAACCAACCCTGGAGTACCTCACCTCCTAGTGTGACATCCTGTATTTACTCAATAAACAGGGGAGACAACCCTATCCTGAAGTACCTCACCTCCTAGTGTGACATCCTGTATCATCCCCTGTAAATATTATTATCATACTCAAAAAACAGGGGAGATAACCTAATCCGGGAGTACCTAACCTCCCAGTGTGACATACTGTATTATCCCCTGTAAATATCATTATCATACTCAATAAAAAGGGGAGATAACCTAATCCTGGAGTACCTCACCTCCTAGTGTCCCATCCTGTATTATCCCCTGTAAATATCATTATCATTCTCAATAAACAGGGGAGATAAACCAACCCTGTAGTACCTCAGCTCCTAGTGCGACATCCTGTATTATCCCCTGTAAATATTATTGATCATACACAATAAACAGGGGAGATAACCCTATCCTGGAGTACCTCACCTCCTAGTGTCACATCCTGTATTATCCCCTGTAAATATTATTATCATACTCAATAAACAGGGGAGATAACCCTATCCTGAAGTACCTCACCTCCTAGTGTGACATCTTGAATTATCCCCTGTAAATATTATTATCATACTCAATAAACAGGGGAGATAAACCAACACTGGAGTACCTCACCTCCTAGTGTGACATCCTGTATTATCCCCTGTAAATATCATTGAGCATACTTAATAAACAGGGGAGATAAACCAACCCTGGAGTACCTCACCTCCTAATGTGACATCCTGTATTATCCCCTGTAAATATCATTATCATACTCAATAAACAGGGGAGATAACCCAATCCTTAACCTTATCATTTAATTTGGTTCAATCCATCATAGTCAAATCGAAATACTACACTGAATCACTGTATCTTCTTCTTTAGTATAGTTGACAGGGGTTGGAACTTACTTTGAGGTTTTCTGTCAAGGCTCGGCCAACATTGATGTGACCCTGATTCTCAACCAGGATATCCAAAACCTGTCCTTTCTTTCCACTTATTCTCAAAAATGGATCTTTTTCCCGAACAACAATGCCAATGGAGGTCTGTAAGTGTATAATATAAGACAGAAGTTTGTCAAAAATTAAACAAATTGACACAATGAGGTTGAATAACATTATTTTTGATGTAATTATGTCTGAACGTATAGATTTTAGTTTTGGAAAAAAGCAATGCTGGTAGGACAAAGGCAATGTTTGGAGGACAAAATCTGAAAAAAGGAAATGTTTAAGGTCTAAAGACTACATTTGATTGAAAGAGGCAATGCCTTGAGGATGAAAACATTAATTGTTTACTTGCAAATGCAGGCATCACCTACAGTGTTTAGGTTATCTGATTGCAGTAGACATTGTTATAGATAACAGATGTATAAATAACACCACTTAATTTCTTTGGTGTCCTCAATCTAAGCATACTCGCCAGCATATCTAAACATGAAATGCTTGTATACACCAGTCTGGTGGGGACCCTGTCTGAAGGGGAGAATACTCTGTTTGATATGGGAGAGAACTCTGTCTGATACGTGTATTGGGGATTAAACACTGTCTGATGAGGGAGATGTATATCTCTGGTGTGGGCAAAAACTCTGTCCGATGTGAATGATAACCACTCTGTTCAAATTGTGTAGAAGCTGTAAAACTTACATTGTCTAACATAACATATCTCCTGTCTCTGACTCCAGACACCTGTAAACTTACATTGTCTAGTATAACATATCCCCTGTCTCTGACTCCAGACACCAGTAAACTTACATTGTCTAACATAACATATCCCCTGTCTCTGACTCCAGACACCTGTAAACTTACATTGTCTAGTATAACATATCCCCTGTCTCTGACTCCAGACACCTGTAAACTTACATTGTCTAACATGACATATCCCCTGTCTCTGACTCCAGACACCTGTAAACTTACATTGTCTAACATGACATATCCCCTGTCTCTGACTCCAGACACCTGTAAACTTACATTGTCTAACATGACATATCCCCTGTCTCTGACTCCAGACACCTGTAAACTTACATTGTCTAACATGACATATCCCCTGTCTCTGACTCCAGACACCTGTAAACTTACATTGTCTAACATGACATATCCCCTGTCTCTGACTCCAGACACCTGTAAACTTACATTGTCTAACATGACATATCCCCTGTCTCTGACTCCAGACACCTGTAAACTTACATTGTCTAACATGACATATCCCCTGTCTCTGACTCCAGACACCTGTAAACTTACATTGTCTAACATGACATATCCCCTGTCTCTGACTCCAGACACCTGTAAACTTACATTGTCTAACATGACATATCCCCTGTCTCTGACTCCAGACACCTGTAAACTTACATTGTCTAACATGACATATCCCCTGTCTCTGACTCCAGACACCTGTAAACTTACATTGTCTAACATGACATATCCCCTGTCTCTGACTCCAGACACCTGTAAACTTACATTGTCTAACATGACATATCCCCTGTCTCTGACTCCAGACACCTGTAAACTTACATTGTCTAACATGACATATCCCCTGTCTCTGACTCCAGACACCTGTAAACTTACATTGTCTAACATGACATATCCCCTGTCTCTGACTCCAGACACCTGTAAACTTACATTGTCTAACATGACATATCCCCTGTCTCTGACTCCAGACACCTGTAAACTTACATTGTCTAACATGACATATCCCCTGTCTCTGACTCCAGACACCTGTAAACTTACATTGTCTAACATGACATATCCCCTGTCTCTGACTCCAGACACCTGTAAACTTACATTGTCTAACATGACATATCCCCTGTCTCTGACTCCAGACACCTGTAAACTTACATTGTCTAACATGACATATCCCCTGTCTCTGACTCCAGACACCTGTAAACTTACATTGTCTAACATGACATATCCCCTGTCTCTGACTCCAGACACCTGTAAACTTACATTGTCTAACATGACATATCCCCTGTCTCTGACTCCAGACACCTGTAAACTTACATTGTCTAACATGACATATCCCCTGTCTCTGACTCCAGACACCTGTAAACTTACATTGTCTAACATGACATATCCCCTGTCTCTGACTCCAGACACCTGTAAACTTACATTGTCTAACATGACATATCCCCTGTCTCTGACTCCAGACACCTGTAAACTTACATTGTCTAACATGACATATCCCCTGTCTCTGACTCCAGACACCTGTAAACTTACATTGTCTAACATGACATATCCCCTGTCTCTGACTCCAGACACCTGTAAACTTACATTGTCTAACATGACATATCCCCTGTCTCTGACTCCAGACACCTGTAAACTTACATTGTCTAACATGACATATCCCCTGTCTCTGACTCCAGACACCTGTAAACTTACATTGTCTAGCATGACATATCCCCTGTCTCTGACTCCAGACACCTGTAAACTTACATTGTCTAGCATGACATATCCCCTGTCTCTGACTCCAGACACCTGTAAACTTACATTGTCTAGCATGACATATCCCCTGTCTCTGACTCCAGACACCTGTAAACTTACATTGTCTAGCATGACATATCCCCTGTCTCTGACTCCAGACACCTGTAAACTTACATTGTCTAGCATGACATATCCCCTGTCTCTGACTCCAGACACCTGTAAACTTACATTGTCTAGCATGACATATCCCCTGTCTCTGACTCCAGACACCTGTAAACTTACATTGTCTAACATGACATATCCCCTGTCTCTGACTCCAGACACCTGTAAACTTACATTGTCTAACATGACATATCCCCTGTCTCTGACTCCAGACACCTGTAAACTTACATTGTCTAACATGACATATCCCCTGTCTCTGACTCCAGACACCTGTAAACTTACATTGTCTAACATGACATATCCCCTGTCTCTGACTCCAGACACCTGTAAACTTACATTGTCTAACATGACATATCCCCTGTCTCTGACTCCAGACACCTGTAAACTTACATTGTCTAACATGACATATCCCCTGTCTCTGACTCCAGACACCTGTAAACTTACATTGTCTAGCATGACATATCCCCTGTCTCTGACTCCAGACACCTGTAAACTTACATTGTCTAACATGACATATCCCCTGTCTCTGACTCCAGACACCTGTAAAACTGTGTTTATGTTGTGATCTTTCTTCAACACATGTCTGTACAGGGCAAATCCTTGGTTCTGAAATTGTAAGCAGAACAAGATGTCTTTTCCTCTGACTGTATGATATTCAAAATGTCATCCTCCATGTTTACAGCTGGTCATTAAATCATTGGTTTCCATTAATGTACTAGGATATATAGGATCTGACATGATCGAGTTTCCATTTCATTTCATGCAACCTTGAAATGTAAAATGCCGCCATTTTGACTCCAGTGAGTAAGTCTGTGACGTCACGTACTTGTCCTAGGCGTGACGTCACAATTGAAACCATTAAAACTTACAACCAATCACAGGGCTGATAGGTCATATTACATGGGTTAATACGCAAAAACATATGACATGGGTATATTCACTGGATAACACAGTACATTATGTGATAACACAGTACATTATGTGATAGCACAGTACAGTATGTGATAACACAGTACATTATGTGATAACACAGTACATTGTGTGATAACACAGTACATTGTGTGATAACACAGTACATTATGTGATAACACAGTAAATTGTGTGATAACACAGTACATTATGTGATAACACAGTACAGTATATGATAACACAGTACAGTATGTGATAACACAGTACACTATGTGATAACACAGTACATTATGTGATAACACAGTACAGTATGTGATAACACAGTACACTATGTGATAACACAGTACATTATGTGATAACACAGTACATTACGTGATAACACAGTACATTATGTGATAACACAGTACATTATGTGATAATACACTATATTACCAAACAAATAAATGTGTTAAACAGTAGTGTTATACTTATTTTCTTAATTAATAGAAATGTTACTTCAATCATTTTTAAACTTTGTTTCCAGCTAAATATATTTGGACAGTGGTACAGACGGACACAGGATTCCTCCTCCCCTGGATAGCTAGAAAACCAGATCATTCACCGCTTTCACAACAACACTGAGAAGAAGACTTGAACTTGACTTAACACTGTTTGAAAGAATTACCTGTCCAATGGCCTCCATTGTGAGTGGATGTGTAGAGATCACCCCACCTGTAGGGCTGAGCTGTGGGAGGAGGTCTTGTACAGTTCCAACCTGATCAACAAACAATCATCACTTGTTTTCTTCAGTATGGAAATCAATGTACACATGTATCAATTGTCATCATGATTGGATTACCTACTGTAGATATATAATGGGACGGAGCATCTGTAATGATTCTCACAGCATTTTAACCTTCAGTACAAATACTGTAAAAATCAAATTCACTTTTAAACATGAGTAGCAATATGATATAAGATAGGAACACATGATAATGTCTTGTTTACTTCTGATATTGATCGGACATAGTTTTGTTGCTGTAACTTACAAACTTCATCGGGACTGTACCATACTTGGCCTTTTGTGAGGATGTAGGAATCGGTATGTCTGGTAGGGTGTTGTACTAGGAAAACAAAATTGTAAATTTTAGCATATACCGATAGCTAGTATGACCATACAGTGTAAGTAACAGGAGAAGATCCAGAATTTAACAAAAATAAATCAATTATTTTATGGTGACTGTGGATCACATGCCAAACATACATATATAGAGGTCTATAGTAATTTAGAAATCCATTAATTAGTATATATTGTATAAATAACCTCTTATTTAATATCAATCCCACTTACTGTTAGGAAAGATGTTGGCCTGCGTGGGGTCTCAATGTCAGAGGAAATTAGAGCAAAACTCCATTTGGATATACAGATGATGAGAGGTATTGCCAGAAACAACTGATTGTTGATGTCATGATTGTCAATTTGGTGTCTTTATGGTTTACTTTAGAGATTTTTTTTGTATTGAATCTAAGAAAACTATCCAGAGAAGCTTTGTTTTAGACTTTGCCCATTTACCTTTGATATGACCTGTCTGAGCGTGTGGTACTTGGGAGTTATGTCCCCTGCCTCTGTTAAGGGTGCATCATAGTCATAACTTGTGGGAACTGGCTCAAACAGTGGGAAAACAAAGTAATTAGCTCCTGTAAGAGAATAGGAAAGAAATATAGGTATCAAATATTTTCTCATTAATTTCTGCCAAATCTGCAAAAAAAAAAAATACACAAATATAACTGTGTTCCCTTGTATTTCAGGTTAAATAATGTGATAAAAAAAATACATGAAATTCATTGTCCACCACCATCATATTGAAATTTTGTAGTTGAACTGGAATGTCAATTCAGCGTTTTGAAAGACAAAATTAATTTGATCCATTTGGCCTTCATTTCTCCATCACACACTATAGTGTTCCTATATATCATATAAAAATGACTTTTTTTTAAAAATAAAGATGAAAACATCTAAAATCGTACCATTCCAATATCCAAAGTTTGTTCCTCCCTCAAACATGTACCTGAAATTATAAGGATTTTACACTCTGTAGAAATTACAGCACAAGGATTTTACACTCTGTAGAAATTACAGCACAAGGATATTACACTCTGTAGAAATGACAGCACAGGCTGAATAGCAGTTAAGACTATATATATATATACAATAAAAACATACATTTTTCAGATCGTCCGCTAGGCCTTTCTGCCTTCTAGGGTTTCTTCAGGCTTACAACTGTAAACTTATATTGTCTAACATAACATATCCCCTGTCTCTGACTCCAGACACCTGTAAACTTACATTGTCTAACATAACATATCCCCTGTCTCTGCCTCCAGACACCTGTAAACTTACATTGTCTAACATAACATATCTCCTGTCTCTGACTCCAGACACCTGTAAACTTACATTGTCTAGTATGACATATCCCCTGTCTCTGACTCCAGACACCTGTAAACTTACATTGTCTAACATGACATATCCCCTGTCTCTGACTCCAGACACCTGTAAACTTACATTGTCTAACATGACATATCCCCTGTCTCTGACTCCAGACACCTGTAAACTTACATTGTCTAACATGACATATCCCCTGTCTCTGACTCCAGACACCTGTAAACTTACATTGTCTAGCATGACATATCCCCTGTCTCTGACTCCAGACACCTGTAAACTTACATTGTCTAACATGACATATCCCCTGTCTCTGACTCCAGACACCTGTAAACTTACATTGTCTAACATGACATATCCCCTGTCTCTGACTCCAGACACCTGTAAACTTACATTGTCTAACATGACATATCCCCTGTCTCTGACTCCAGACACCTGTAAACTTACATTGTCTAACATGACATATCCCCTGTCTCTGACTCCAGACACCTGTAAACTTACATTGTCTAACATGACATATCCCCTGTCTCTGACTCCAGACACCTGTAAACTTACATTGTCTAACATGACATATCCCCTGTCTCTGACTCCAGACACCTGTAAACTTACATTGTCTAACATGACATATCCCCTGTCTCTGACTCCAGACACCTGTAAACTTACATTGTCTAACATGACATATCCCCTGTCTCTGACTCCAGACACCTGTAAACTTACATTGTCTAACATGACATATCCCCTGTCTCTGACTCCAGACACCTGTAAACTTACATTGTCTAACATGACATATCCCCTGTCTCTGACTCCAGACACCTGTAAACTTACATTGTCTAACATGACATATCCCCTGTCTCTGACTCCAGACACCTGTAAACTTACATTGTCTAACATGACATATCCCCTGTCTCTGACTCCAGACACCTGTAAACTTACATTGTCTAACATGACATATCCCCTGTCTCTGACTCCAGACACCTGTAAACTTACATTGTCTAACATGACATATCCCCTGTCTCTGACTCCAGACACCTGTAAACTTACATTGTCTAACATGACATATCCCCTGTCTCTGACTCCAGACACCTGTAAACTTACATTGTCTAACATGACATATCCCCTGTCTCTGACTCCAGACACCTGTAAACTTACATTGTCTAACATGACATATCCCCTGTCTCTGACTCCAGACACCTGTAAACTTACATTGTCTAACATGACATATCCCCTGTCTCTGACTCCAGACACCTGTAAACTTACATTGTCTAACATGACATATCCCCTGTCTCTGACTCCAGACACCTGTAACCTTACATTGTCTAACATGACATATTCCCTGTCTCTGACTCCAGACACCTGTAAACTTACATTGTCTAGCATATCATATCTCCTGTCTCTGGCTCCAGACGCCTGTAAAATTATATTGTCTAACATGACATATACCCTGTCTCTGACTCTAGGCACCTATATATTTACATTGTCTAGCATATCATATCTCCTGTCTCTGCCTCCAGACCCCTGTAAACTTACATTATCTAACATGACATATACCCTGTCTCTGACTCCAGGTACCTGTAAATTTACAGTGTCTAGCATAACATATCCCCTGTCTCTGTCTCCAGACACCTGTAACCCCTGTCTCTGACTCCAGACACCTGTAAACTTACATTGTCTAACATGACATATTCCCTGTCTCTGACTCCAGGCACCTGTAAATTTACATTGTCTAGCATAACATATCTCCTGTCTCTGACTCCAGACACCTGTAAACTTACATTGTCTAACATAACATATCCCCAAAGAAGCCCTAGAAGGCAGAAAGGCCTAGCAGACGATCTGAAAAAATTATGTTTTTATTCTATATTTTATAATTTTTATTCTATATTTTCCTTCGCAAGGACTTATTTATTTATAATCTACTATATATATACATATTATCACTGTGTACCAACGACCACCATTTGTAAGCTACTTCAGGTTTAAAGCCTCGGACTTTCCAACTCTCCATTGATTTGACTTGTTTTAATCGTGTACAATTATGTGCAAAAATGACTTTGTATTTAATGTTCTTTAAAGCATAAAAAAGACAAAGGTACATGGCGTTTACAGTCCAGTAGAACTAGTGGCACAAACTACAACAGACCAGACATCTTACTAAATATATACAGTGAGGACTGGTCCAGTTTGTTATATGGCCTGGATCATATTCCAGACATGAACATGAAATAGTGAGTGTAAATTTATCTGACCCTCATTTAGAGCTCTTTGCAGCTCATTACCAGAAAATCCCTCGTTTTTCAAAAACACTTTTGTAGGTCCTCTGCCTAATTGCGGGTATTTGTATTTCCTCTGTGCGTACACACTGAAATGAGAATAAACTATGGCCATTACAGCTGAGATTAATTCAGACATAAACCGACAGAGTATAAACATTAGATGCCCAGACTCACATGTTAACGTTCGCCCCGTAACTAAGCAGCTCGTCGAGATCCTTGGCGACATTAGCTGTGCTACGGACCTGGTGTTTAGACCCCCAGTAATCCAGCCAGCCAGTGTAGTACTCTGAATTCACCTGTAATAGACATTCAAATCTAGGAGATATCTTGGCCCAAAAAACACACTAGATAGATAGACAGATAATTAGTAGACAAATTAACAGGCTTGATTGTCATGTCTTTTTTTACATCAATATCAAGTGGTTTTTGAATGGTTTATGTTAAAACACAATTTGTTACTTTTACAAGTTTTCAGTCAATTAATTTAAGTGAACTTGCTGATTTTCCTAATTTTTTATGTACTTTTATTTGAATTTTCATTAATTGTCACTACAAAAAACTGTTCAATTAATTGAATCATGTTAATACAATGAAAGTTTCATTATTATATGATATAAATTGTACATATTTAACAGTATTTATTTTTTTCTAGAATATAGAACTGCTAATTTACTGCAGTAAATAATTAAGGTAAACTTTGTTTTAAGGCTGAATTTAAATTTCCTGGTGATCCCCTTGTCAATACAGTATATGTAGATTAAAATGATCTCGAGGACATCAGCTAATGATAAAGTAACTTACCAGCGGACCTTTAGGTTCAAATTTCCTCTGATGTTTAAATTTATCAGTTGGTTTTTCATATTCTGAAAATGTGAGCAGACTCTATGTGGTATTTTATAGATCTTTACTGGAGTTTTAGTAAGCATGAACATCTTAATTTGTGCTTGACAGCATTTGTATCTTGTAACATGGTTGGCACATAAATCCCGATGTCACCAATATACTACTTTAAACGATCACATTTTTTTGTCCTCTGGATTTTGGCTTTTTACAACAACTTTACCCAGTGTTAAATTTTCTGACATATATTTATCAATATTACTATAAATACATACTATTTTTTCAACTCTATCTGAATTCACCCTCTTAAGGGCAGATCTTGATTGTTAAATGTTGTCTTGCCTTTCTGTTACTTAAAAAAGGAAAGGTTATACGACAAACTTGAGTTGATAATAGACTGCAGTGACCAGGTAGTTCACTTCATAAATTTTAACTCTGAACCCCGATCTCCTTTGCTTTCATAGTCCCCAGCCTGTGATACATGTACAGTAATTTTATTTCTAGTGAACGATTTTCCAGTTACAACGAGTATTATCCTATCTCTTACATACAATAAGATTTCTAGTGAACGATTTTACAGATACAACAAGTATTATCCTATCTCTTACATACAATAAGAAAGTTTTTTAACCTTTCCATCTGAGTATTAATCTACTAAGCCTCCTACCTGTGACTCCAAAGTCTATAGTGGAGTAGACTCCGGGTATCTTGCCACACTTAATAAACGGGTCAATAGCATTGTCTGTAGTGAAGAGAACCACATCCTTGCCCAGGTGAGAAATTACCTTGTCCCTCAAGTGTTCTGTGTAGGTATGGTCGCAGGCAAAATAACTCCCGTACTCATTCTCTATCTGGAAGATAAAAATATTATACACTGAAAATCATGAAAAACTTTTTAAAAAAAACAAGAGGTCCAAAGGGCATTACAGTGTAACAGTCACTTGAGAAAAGGACAGTATCAGAATTGGCCAGAGGTTGGTGCACTGTTACAACATTGAGCAAATGGATGTAACAACTTTCATAAGCCTCAGTCTTTCAGTTTTTTAACAATTAAGTTGCACAGATTTTCACTTGTCAATGTTGGTGTAAATCGGATTGCACGTAAGTTTCAGAGTAGTCTTCCAAAGGTTTTACACTGTGTGAACTCTTATGGCCGCCCCTTGGCCACCTGAGGGACAGTCCCTTCCTGAGTAAAATTTCTGATCCTTATTATCTAAGCATCATTTTAAGAAATGTCGGTGAACATCCACCTTTGAGTTACAGAGAAGCAGTCACCTGAGAGGTGACTTAAAAATCAAACTAAAAAAAACCAACATCTAACACCTCTGGCATCCAAAAATGAGACCACTTAAATCTTGTACCAGATAGGAAAACTTACCAGTATAGTGATGACGAGGAAAACCTACCGATATAGTGATGACAAGAAAACTTAACTGTATAGTGATGATGAGAAAAACTCACCTGTATAGTGATGATGAGAAAAAACTCATCTGTATAGTGATGACGAAAAAACTAACCTGTATAGTGATGATGAGAAAACTTACCTGTATAGTGATGACGAAAAAACTTACCTGTATAGTGATGATGAGAAAACTTACCTGTATATAGTGATGATGAGAAAACTTACCTATATAGTGATGATGAGAAAACTTACCTGTATAGTGATGACGAAAAAACTTACCTGTATAGTGATGATGAGAAAACTTACCTGTGTATAGTGATGATGAGAAAACTTACCTGTATATAGTGATGATGAGAAGACTTACCTGTATAGTGATGATGAGAAAACTTACCTGTGTATAGTGATGATGAGAAAACTTACCTGTATAGTGATGATGAGAAAAACTCACCTGTATAGTGATGATGAGAAAAAACTCATCTGTATAGTGATGACGAAAAAACTCACCTGTATATAGTGATGACGAGAAAACTAACCTGTATAGTGATGATGAGAAAACTTACCTGTATAGTGATGATGAGAAAACTTACCTGTATATAGTGATGATGAGAAAACTTACCTGTATAGTGATGATGAGAAAACTTACCTGTATAGTGATGATGAGAAAACTTACCTGTATATATGGTGATGATGAGAAAACTTACCTGTATAGTGATGACGAGAAAACTTACCTGTATAGTGATGATGAGAAAACTTACCTGTATAGTGATGATGAGAAAACTTACCTGTATATAGATGATGAGAAAACTCACCTGTATATATGGTGATGATGAGAAAACTTACCTGTATAGTGATGACGAGAAAACTTACCTGTATAGTGATGATGAGAAAACTTACCTGTATAGTGATGATGAGAAAACTTACCTGTATAGTGATGATGAGAAAACTTACCTGTATAGTGATGATGAGAAAACTTACCTGTATAGTGATGATGAGAAAACTTACCTGTATAGTGATGATGAGAAAACTTACCTGTATAGTGATGAGAAAAATCACCTGTATAGTGATGATGAGAAAACTCACCTGTATATATGGTGATGATGAGAAAACTTACCTGTATAGTGATGACGAGAAAACTTACCTGTATAGTGATGATGAGAAAACTTACCTGTATAGTGATGATGAGAAAACTTACCTGTATAGTGATGATGAGAAAACTTACCTGTATTGTAATGATAGGACCACCATTTACGTACAACAGGGGCTTCACCTTCGGCATGAGGACATCAAACCATTGATCCACATAATGTATGTAGGCTGTAATAAATAATTCACACCTTAAAAACGTATCTACGCTTTATCTTATCAATTGAAAAAATAAATATGCACATAGATTGATTCCTTTTTTTTTAACTTTTTTATTCTTCATCCACATACTTGCCAACATTTTAAATGTCCATGGGGAAGATTACGCTCAGAATTAAACAAATAAAATATGTGTATGTACACCCTAGGGGAAAATCAACACTTTTAAATGGCATCTTTTGAGCTGTTCTTTTAGCTGAAATCATTAGATGTTATAATATAGGAATAGAGGAATAGTTTAGCAAATTCAATGGTTGAAAATGCTCAGTTTTAGGGTCCCAAGTCTTGTGTCTCCCTCCAAAATCTGCAGAGTTGGCAAGTATGCATTCATATATTTTTACAGGTAAATCAGACAGAAAAATACTATAACATTGGTATGTCCATCATGCAAAGCAAAAAATGTTAAACTCATGGATTGAAACTTTCATTCCGTTCATTAAGATTCATCAACAGTAAAAACAGGTGTTCAGCTTACATGTGGAGTAATATGTGACATCAATCTGGTGTTAACACGTTTCAAGTCACATAGTGTTGACTATCAATTGTCAGCACAAATGAAGTCTAATGAAGCTAGGCTTTAAACTCTATAATTAGAAAATTATTCATGCCCAAATAACTTCACTCTGAACTAAAGTACCTGAATTGGATACTGTTCTGAAGCAAGAGTACAACAAACACAAGTGTAACGGTAGAAAACACTGAGAATCTAGCGATAGAACTATAGACTCACGTGTAACGGTAGAAAACACTGAGCATCTAGAGACAGAACTATAGACACACGGGTAACGGTAGAAAACACTGAGAATCTAGAGACAGAACTATAGACACACGTGTAACGGTAGAAAACACTGAGAATCTAGCGACAGAACTATAGACACGCGTGTAACGGTAGAAAACACTGAGAATCTAGCGATAGAACTATAGACACACGTGTAACGGTAGAAAACACTGAGAATCTAGAGACAGAACTATAGACACACGTGTAACGGTAGAAAACACTGAGAATCTAGCGACAGAACTATAGACACGCGTGTAACGGTAGAAAACACTGAGAATCTAGCGATAGAACTATAGACACACGTGTAACGGTAGAAAACACTGAGAATCTAGAGACAGAACTACAGACACACATGTAACGGTAGAAAACACGGAGAATCTAGCGACAGAACTATAGACACACGTGTAACGGTAGAAAACACTGAGAATCTAGCAACAGAACTACAGACACACGTGTAACGGTAGAAAACACTGAGAATCTAGCAACAGAACTACAGACACACGTGTAACGGTAGAAAACATGGAGAATCTAGCGACAGAACTAACGACACTTTCAGTACTAGTGCTGTTGTAATTGTGACTCACTTGAATCCATCGATCTAAAAACTGTTTTAGGATTTTCCTTCAGTATCCAAGCTGGTAAACCTCCCTTTAAAAAAAAGAGATGATAAGAATTTCTCACTAGTTAAAAACAAATGACATAACACCACTCTGTCAGGTCTGAGTCATTGTCACAGGTCAATTTTCCTTGGACTATAATACATAATTCATGACAGCATTGTGTGGTAATCATAAAACAATGTTGCTTTGGTCCCTTTTTTTTTATTTATAGTTCATAATTTCACTTATGTGACATGGGTGAGCATGCAATAAGACTACTTCTCATAATGGCCTATCATTGGGTTAAGGAGATAAACTATCTCATGTCATGTATTCATGAAATCGTTCTCATGCTCAAGCATGGATTTTGCACCCAAACCAACTTTGTTGTTACTCACTTAAGTCATGTCAAACGATCAAAAAGTCAAATGTTAACCTATAAAACATTATTTAGCTTAAGTTTCTTCATTTCTTTCTCCAAAGTACTGACAAAATTAGATTTTATTATCAATTTATAAACGGAACAAGAAATTAGGCTTGAGCACAAAATCCAGGCTTGAGCAAGAGAACGGTTTCATGAATACAGGCCCAGTTCTGTATGTCCTCATACCTACACAGGTATCCAACTTTAATAGCCTCAAAATCATAACATACATCATGATACATGCTGTCTTTGACCTATCATTAATTAGTCAGTATATACTTACAAAGTCCCAATAGACTAACAACTTAATATTCCCACTCAAATGCAATACCTGTCAGAGTTACATTACAAAGTTCCAATCAATCTATATGCCTTTCAGTCAGTATATTGCAAACTGTAAGTCCCGCTAAGTTTATTGACCTTTCAGCAATTATACTTACAAAGTCCCACTCAGCACAGATAAATGGCCCAGGTCGGAGTATGACCAGTAGTCCCACACCATGGGCCAGAGTTATAAACTGGACAAAGTCTTGCTGACCAGTGAAATCATACACACTGGCCTTACTTGTTTGGTGAATGTTCCAGGGAATATACCTACAATCAGATCATATCTTTCTTTTAATCATATTTTTAAAATGATAAAACTGAAAATTAATCAAACTGACATACATAATTACATATTTGCAGTCATGTTTTGATAGTGAAGTGTTTTAAAGGAGCAGTATATGTATACTATTGCAGTCGATTTCAAACAGCTATTTATTTAAAACTTCAGTACCAGTCTGTAGACAAGACTATCTCAAACAGCCGCTATATATTATTCAATTATAGCCTTTGGCTGAGGTCAATACCTGGATTTATCAACCCGGGAAAAGATATATTAACCGAGGATGCAGTATTTTTTCTAAGGTCGATAAATCCAGGTATCAACCAAAGATAAAGGCTACAATTGTTTTATTATTTTCAAAACAGCAATGTAGGCAATCTGAAGAAAAAAAACACAACAAAAAAGCTACGGAAGCGGGATACGTTTGGTGACAGGTGATAATACTTGCCAACCCTCCCTATTTAGGAGGGAGACTCCTGATTTTGGACCCTTTAATTTAGCATTTTCAACCTGTCAGTCATGAATTTGTTAAAATATTCCCATATCATTTCGTCTAAAAGAACAACTCAAAATATGTCATTTAAAGGGTTATGTTGTCACTAGGGGGTATATAAATTATTATATTTATGTTTTAATTTTAAGCATGCAGAATCTCCCCCAAGGAAATTTCAAAAAGTTGGCAAGTATGGCGTTACTGTAGATATTTGTTTTCCAGTTTGTTTGCCTGTTGGTTTTCAACGCCCTCGCTGCAGCTAAGTTCATTTATGAAGACGTTTTTTTTATTATCATTTTTTCCCAAACAGCTAGATCTATTTGTAGTAGATCTTGACTGTAATAATCTTAATACTCACACTTGTATAGCATTCAGCCCTGCAGCGTACATCTTGAGGAGTCTGTCCAGCCAGTAGTCCTGAGGTACCCGACTGTAGTGGATACTTCCGGACACATAGCGGAACGGCTTCCCATCCTTCAGGAATGTGTTCTTGTCATAGTCTATTGTGAAATTTCTTACTGGAGCCTAATACAGAACAAATATAAACACATCAAGACACATTTTAAACAAGGCAAAGTATTGTGAGCAACTCCTTAGTCCCCTATCACTGAGCAATTTACTTTTGGTCACAGTGGTGTTATTTGTAGTAGGGCATGAGACTGCTAACTGATAAGTACTAACTTAGAAAAGTTGCCAATTGTAGATGACAAAGTATATGAGATATGAACCATACAAAGTGATGTACACAGAGAGTGAACAAAGGGCCATAACTCTGTATATATTTGGGCATGAAACCTGATTCAAGTTTTTGACACTCTGCCACCACAAGAGGTGCTCATATATAAAATATAGAAATTGTTAGTGGCATGGATGAGTGATATACCCTGGACAAAGTGATATGTAGAGTACAAAGGGCCATAACTCTGTATATACTGGGCCATGAGACCTGATTAAAGTTTGTTACAATCACCCATCCAATGAGGTACTCACAAACAAAATCAATGTAGTTGACAAGATTATATGAAACAGGTATTCTTCAAACAACGAGACATTCAGTGAATAAAGGGCAACAACTCTGTAAATAGTGGGGCACAAGACTTAACTCATTCACCCCTGAAGACACATTTTAACTCCCCCAATTTAAAGGATGGAATAGTTCATTATGAAATTTCAGGGGTGAATGAGTTAATGAATACAGCAGTGTAACACTGCCATCCAAAGTGGAACTTGCATATAAAATTTGGCAATTGTAGGTGACGGAGTATATGGGATACATCCCAGACAAAGGGATGCACTGTTACTGCTTAAATGCCTGGCAATGTGCAGACCTATAGGCCCTTTGTGATCTGGTAGCACCAGTAGGGAATCTATTTTTTCATTCAAAAACTGTTTTTAATCAACCTTCTACAGAGCTTTATATCATATGACTGAGAGAAAAGATTACAGGACTGATATGCTATCTACCTGTAGTATTGACTTGGTATCTACCATACGTTAGTGTGTACGATTAACACAAGGCTGCTAGGCCATCATACCAAAAACCCATCAGTCTATATTAACACACCTAAACCCATCCTAATGACATAACACTGGGTCAGAGTATCAGACAGGTAGATTCAAGTTCAATTTCTTATTAGATTGACATGGTTTTAAGAAATTGATTTTTTGAAAGGATTTTTGTACTTTAGGTTTACTGTAAGAAATCACTTTATCTGCCATAATGTTTGAATATACTGGATGTCAAAACATTTTTTCATGCTGATGTAGGAAGATGCGCCAAGGACATATGACATGATTTATCAAAGGTCAGACAGTCACTAAACCAACTATCTGATAACATGTGTCAATCTTAGTACTGCAGATAATAAACTTACCTTCACACTACCCGATAACAAACTTGAGTACCGTACTACTATACATACTAGTTAACATGTACAGAAAATAAGGATCAAATTGTTATAAGTCTGATTTACACACTATTGGAAGAAAAAATCTTCACCTCTGTAAGAAATACCTGTTACGCTTGTACATCACTGAATGGCTGTGCCAATATTTACCTGTGAAAGCACTAGATGACAGCAGCAGGCTCCTGTGAACATCAGCAACAAACTCCGCCACTTAGATGTTGCCACCATTTTGAATGTGTCACCTGATTTGTCATTTGTGGAGGTGTTTGATAAGAAAAGTATGTACTGTACTGTTGTACACAGACACAATGTGACATGGGGTAAAACAAGGGACTGATTTCTCCAGAAAAAGGTTGAGATACAAGTATTTGGCAAGCAAGCTTTACCTATATTAAGTTTACCTGTTACTGAATTCACTTCAAATTTGAAATAAAAGTGGAATGTATCTGAAGATTACCATGACATATTTTTCCAAAGAAATATTCTAATAAAATTGAAAACTGAGTTTAAAACAAAACTTCCAAGTGAGAACATCATATTTTTCATGATTAATAACAAAATTCTCACATTTTCTTCTCATGAATGTGGAAACAAATGTCATTTCACTATATATAAAATACTGTCAAGACTCAATTTTTTTTTTTTGTAAACAACACGTCTCCCCTATTCAGCTGCACACTGTCTGTGGGTACTATATGTATCTTTTAAGACGAAGAACCAGTACTAAATCATGTCTCCCTTCACTAGAATGGGAAAACCAAAGCCAGAATAATATGATAAAAATTAATTTTGAGAAATTGAAATAAAAGTTCTAGATCTCTTCAAAAAAGTCTTTGAGAGGTGATTTCTTTCAAAGAAATTATCTTGTTTTTTTTTCTTCTTAAAGATAATATAGTAACATATCAATGTGCAGGTCTTTTAAATAAAAGAGAATGCTACATTGAAATTAAAATATTCAAGGGAGATAACTCAAATAGAATTTACAGGTACACTTTATTTATTTTACAACAATTATGAAACAAGTTTTTACAACTTATATTAATCACTCTTGTTGGCCCAGATGTTAGCGCACGGGGATCTTATTGTGGGAAGAAACCGGAGTACCCGGAGAAAAACCCACGTGGTCGGGCAGGTAACCCCATACCTTTTCACGTCCGATCGGGGAATCGAACCCCGGCCATCTTGGTGAAAGGCAATTGCGCTATCCACTGTGCCACCTGACCACCCATGAATTTACAGGTATAATGTTTCAGGATGCATATATCCTTAAGGGCGATCATTCTAACAAAAAGCACAGGTACAATGTATAAAGATGTAACATATTTCCTCAGGGGAGACACTTCTAACATCAAGCAGAGACTTAATGTTAGGTACATGTACCCTATTTTCAAAGTAGAAAACTCATACATATACCACATATACAAATTTGTAAAGTAGCATACACCCTTAAGTCTAACACAAATAACAGTTATATTGTTCAAGGTAGCAGATATCTCTAAGGGAGATAACTCTAACACAAACTGCACCTATGACAATTAAATAAGGATATATCTGAAAGGGATATAAGTCAATGACACAGATCAGGTATATTTGGAAGTACATACATATACAGTATCTTTAAAGAGATTACACGATGTTTAGCAAATTTATTGAAATAATTTTTTGTTCCTTGTTTAAACAAGAGGCCCATGGGCCTTAACGGTCACCTGATATATTTATACAGTGAGTTGATTTCGTTTTTAACATGAACAGAAATATTATTCAAAGTGACAAAAAACAATAAAACCACCTTATTCAATATCAAGCATACAGATTTCAGACTAAAAAGGATTTGAAACTAGCACCTCTGATTCTAAACAAGGAAAATGAAGAAATTTTAGCACACTAACTCCCTTGAGCCCCACCCTACAGCCCTTGGGGGTAGGGCTGGCTCAAAATTTTCAAAGTATCAAACTGTCAACTCAAGGTTATAATTCCAATCAAGTTATTAACATGTAATATTCAAAGTATCAGTTGCCATTATAAACCATAATACTTTTGCCCCCCAGGGGGTAAACGTGAGACCCTAGGGTCATAAACCTTAAGACCCTTCCATCTATGAAGAGTATTTGATTCTACCATATCTGGGTCTTGAGAAGAAGATTTTTGAAATTTTAGTCAATTCGACCCTTTTTGGCCCCGCCCCTCAGGCCCCTGGGGGCGTAGGACTAAACCGGCAACTATTTTTGTTGACCTTTGTCCATGGAAGGTCCCTGCAAAATTTCATTGCAATTGGTTCAGGGGTTTTGGAGAAGAAGATTTTTGAAATTTTAGTCAATTTGACCCCTTTTGGCCCGCCCCTCAGGCCCCTGAGGGCGTAGGACTAAACTGGCAACCAGTTTTGTTGACCTTTGTCCATGGAAGGTCCTTGCAAAATTTCATTGAAATTGGTTCAGGGGTTTTGGAGAAGAAGTCGAAAATGTAAATTGTTTACGGACGGACGACGGACGACGAACGACGGACGACGGACGACGACGGACAAAAGGCGATCACATTAGGTCACTTGAGACTTTGTCTCAGGTGACCTAATAAAAAAAAGAACAAAACTTCTTTCAGTGACAACGATAAGTATTTATTACAAACAAATGAAGTTATCACAGAGATTTTGGTTAGAGAACCATAGGTTTATAGTATACACGCTAAGTTACCCCTCCACAATACAGAGTGTAGGAAAGTATAGAAATCTCTAAAAATAATCTTCAAACATCAACAACACTCACTTCATACTAGATAATATTTGTAATAAAAAAATCTTTTCACATTTTAAGTTTGCATATTTTATTTGTGTATGACAATTTTCACATGTTATTGTCATATTATAAATTGTTGTAAGAGTATACATTTTGTTATGTAATCTACATTTTATGTAAACAACAGAAATGCATTTTAAGTACTTGACCCGAGACTTTCCATACACGTGTGTACACAAATTGAAATATTTGTCTATAATTTTTGAGACTATATCACAACTTTCAGAATGTACCTACAATTGGACATTATCGATGTGAAAAAATCTATTAAAAATTGAATACTGGTGAAGAATTCGAACCAAAGCCATATCTATAGGGTACAACCACAGGTAAGAAAAAATAAATACATAGTGGATTGTATAGATAAAAGATGTGGTGTAGCATTTGGAATGCTTTACAAAATATTACATGGAATGTCTTTGTACAGTCAAGCACTATCATCACAAACATTATCATCACAAGCTCAGTTACGTGAAATATCTTTGTCATTCATCTGGCATGTTTTTGGTCCCAAAGATTTCATAATAATATTGATTGTATCACATGATTTGCTGATATGACTGAGAATTTTTTTTAATTAAAGGAAATAAATTTATTATTGCACTAATAAGTATACCTTTCACATGGCAACTCAACACACATACCTGGTATATGTATACAATATTTTATCACAAAATGAGAATAATTATTTTGCCAGTTCAATCTGTTGTGAACATTTAAATTCTTCATGGAATAATGAACTTACAGAGGAGCAGAAAATGACACATAATTCAAACATCTATAAATAAAAGAGTAACAAATATATATTCACATATAACAAATGTCAAATTTAATTGTTAAATAAGTACAGCTGTAGGTTTTTTCAATTTTATTTTATACACAAACACATCAAAGTAAAAAAAAAAAGGACATTTGAAATTAACATGCTAACCCTTTCACCACTGTAAACCATAATGGACTCATCCAGATCAATGCATGGTAGAGTCTACTCAAGTACCTAACCAAAACTCACATACCGTATTTAACCTTTGATAAGGCACCAATATCTCATAAAGTAATGGCTAGGGTCAGTACAGAGTAACTAACCAAAACTCACATACCGTATTTTACCTATTATAAGGCACCAATACCTCATAAAGTAATGGCTAGGGTCAGTACAGAGGACCTAACCAAAACTCACATACCGTATTTAACGTATGATTAGGCATCAATATCTCATAAAGAAATGGCTAGTGTCAGTACAGAGTACATAACCAAAACTCACATACCATATTTAACCTATGATAAGGCATCAATATCTCATACAGTAATGACTAGTGTCAGTACAGAATACCAAAAATCACATACCGTATTTAACCTATGATTAGGCATCAATATCTCATAAAGAAATGGCTAGTGTCAGTACAGAGTACCTAACCAAAACTTACATACCGTATTTAACCTATGATAACACCAATATCTCATACAGTAATGGCTAGTGTCAGTACAGAGGACCTAACCAAAACTCACATACCGTATTTTACCTATTATAAGGCACCAATACCTCATAAAGTAATGGCTAGGGTCAGTACAGAGGACCTAACCAAAACTCACATACCGTATGTAACCTTTGATAAGGCACCAATATCTCATAAAGTAATGGCTAATGTCAGTACAGAGTACCTAACCAAAATTCACATACCATATTTAACCTATGATAAGGCACCAATATCTCATACAGGAATGGCTAGGGTCAGTACAGAGTACCTAACCAAAATTCACATACCATATTTAACCTATGATAAGGCACCAATATCTTATTAAGTAATGGCTAGTGTCAGTACAGAGGACCTAACCAAAACTCACATACCGTATGTAACCTTTGATAAGGCACCAATATCTCATAAAGAAATGGCTAGTGTCAGTACAGAGTACATAACCAAAACTCACATACCATATTTAACCTATGATAAGGCACCAATATCTTATTAAGTAATGGCTAGTGTCAGTACAGAGTACCTAACCAAAACTCACATACCGTATTTAACCTATGATAAGGCATCAATATCTCATACAGTAATGACTAGTGTCAGTACAGAGTACCAAAACTCACATACCGTATTTAACCTATGATTAGGCATCAATATCTCATAAAGTAATGGCTAGTGTCAGTACAGAGTACCTAACCAAAACTCACATACCATATTTAACCTATGATAAGCCCAGGGGTCTGTGCAAGAAAAGATGTCAATGTTAGGAAGTGGACTTATTACCGGATATGAGACTGTTTTACCAGTCATAAGCTTAGACTGGACATTGTTGTCCACCAATTTGTTAGAACCAAACAGGCTGCCATGTGGCAAGTATACAACAGGTATCATTGCAAGTGAATTATATGGCACAAAATTAAAGAGCAACGTTAGCTATTATTTATGCAATGAATTAATCTTATGCAAAGTAATCAAAAGGAAAAGATGACCATGACCCACTCCCCATATAATCTTATATGAGTGAAAAAGCAAGATGTAAAGAACTTTGCCGACTTGAAAAATCAAAAATGAGGGTGAACATTTTTAGTTTTATTTATGACAAAACAGACTTATATAGTGAAACCTTGTTGATGCAGACATGTTGGTTTATAAAAACATGTCACCAAAGCAGGAATAATCAGTCAATGGTACTCAGTTATGTAGACAGAACCAGTGTGTCCACTAAACCGGTGTAACAAAGTGGTACAACACTCACTATAACAATCAACGGTCCATCTGGGACACTATTTCATGCTCTACCGAATTAAAATTGTACATTTAATTAAAATTCTGTTTCATTTCTTACCAGAGATTCCTTTAATAGGGGAAGCCAAAATATCCATACTAACAAAATAGAACTGTTCATATACATAACACAGTAAACACAGTATGAAAAGGACTTAATGCGTTAAGGGACATTTTTGGTCTCAGGCTCAAAAAAGTAAAAAAATTCAACTTGAATTATTTACCAATTTCTGTTATAAACATCACATTGGTTAATTGGAGCAATCTTTGTTTGTGCATATTTTTTTCTAACGCACATGCCTAGATGCCCTACCATAGCAACGAAATTGCATTGCTATGCAGAAATAGCCAAACTATGGTGTTTTTGGACAGTTAGCTAGGAGAAAGCAAAGCCTCCACATTTACTCCAGATTACGAATATAACAGCTAATTCAAAATGCCCGATGAGGCCGGAAATGACCCTTAAAGCCCCTAGTCCTTTCTCTTTTTCATACTGTAGGTAACCTGACACTAAACAATAAATGCAAAGTATGTAAATTAACACATTTTGAATCTGAAAGTATTGGTTTATTCAAGACAACAAAATGATGTAATATTGTCCAGTATATATTAGTCTGATTTATCATATGCTATTGTGTATAGTAATCCAAGCACACATCTAGGTAGGCTAAACTGGGTTTCCTTATTTAAAACAACTTTTTGCATACATGTATATAAATTTAATTTCTTTTACAACAACTATGGCGTAAGTTATTCAACTTATATTAATCACTCTTGTTGGCCTGGATGATACCACGCGGGGAGTCTTAATGTGGAAGGAAACTGAAGTACCAAGAGAAAACCCATGCCATCAGGCAGATGATCCATACCTATTCACGTCTGATCAGAGCATCAAACCGAGGCTGTCTTGGTGAAAAGCGAGTGCGTTATCCACTCTGCCACCTGACCACCCTGGGTTTCCTTACGTATTTCAATGGTGCCATCATATTAATGTTCTTTGGAGTAAGAAGTTCTAGTAGAAAAAATTGGAACGACGAATTGCGTTTACACTATAGACATGTAAATAGTGAAAACAGATGATGCTACAATATATTCTGGGGACTAATGTTCCCAATGCCACTTATAACCCTCTCCGATCTCCCGTTGTCCTGACAGTGAGTTTGTGCCGTTGATGAGAGGCTGGTCGACAAAGTTCACCACACATGTCGCTGTGGTTTGACAGGGAGCTCCCTCTAACTCAAACATGAGGAGCATGTTGTTGGCTGTCAGGTATGGCTTGGGGACAAACAGGCGAACCTGTGGCCCCTCCTTAGGCCAGTAACGTCCTAGATTGATGTGATCTTTGAGGAGGACCTGACCCTAAGAAGATGAAGAAAACCAAGTGTCATTCAAATCAATGCTGGAATGTTTGAAAATAAATATAAATACCTAACCTGTATAACAATGAAACTTCTAATACAAATCAGCATGTCACCTCTGTCCAGAAAACTATTATACCACAGACTGGAAACGGTCACTGATGTAAGTTGTGTTTGAAATAAAGGCTTGATTTATATTTCTGCATGTTTGCAGGAATTTTGTTTTCAGATTTTTTTAAATGTATGAAATACAGACATTCTATTCAATTTCAGTCACAAAACTTTGAAATATAATGTCTCTGAATAAAAAATATCAACAATTTTAATACCACAGCATTTCCTACCTTTGTCCATCCAGTCATGTCCAGGTAGGTATCTTCGGGGTCACCACTAATGGTCAGTTTACCCATGTAGATGGATGGAGTCATCAGTCCCTCTCCAGACTTTGGACTATCCCTATATAGGAATGATATTGTACTTTCAAATAAAATACAGGCCTCAAAGCGATTTTTTTAAACTGGGTATCCCAGGGGGCACCAGAGGAAAAAACAGTAAGACAATGAAGAATGAAAACATTAGTGCCAGGGTCCTGATGGTATTGCTTTGCTCTTTGTAAATCATAAGCAAAATTTCCAATAAAACATTCAAACAATATTTCATTCACAAATTGAAGAATTGTCATTAGAGACTCACAAGAGAGGGAATGTTGAAGGAATATCAGAGATTTTCCAGGAACTTTACCCAAGGGGATGTCAAATGACCCGAGGTTGACCAGTCTTACCCCTAGGGGATGTTAGAGGGGTTGCGATTGTCCTAACTAACCAAAGAAGAGAATATTAGATAGGATAAGATTATCTTCATCAGGGATGTACGAAGGGTTGAGATTTCTAGACTTACTCAGGGGATGTAAGATAGGTTGAGGTTTTAAGACTTACCCCAGGGGATGAAAGATGGGATATAGTTTCTAGACTTACCCCAGGGGATGTAAGAGGGGTTGATGTTTTTAAACTTACCCCAGGAGGTGCAAGAGGAGTCAAGGTTTTTAGACTTACCCAAGGGGATGTAAGAGGGGTTGAGGTTTCTAGACTTACCCTAGGGGTAGTAAGAGGGGTTGAGGTTTCTAGACTTACCCCAGGGGTGGTAAGATGTGTTGAGGTTTCTAGACTTACCCTAGGGTTAGTAAGAGGGGATGGGGTTTCTAGACTTACTCCAGGGGTAGTAAGAGGGGATGGGGTTTCTAGACTTACCCCAGGGGATGTAAGAGAGGTTGATTTTTCTAGACTTGCCCCAGGGGATGTAAGAGGGGTTGAGGTTTTTAGACTTGCCCCAGGGGATGTAAGAGGAGTTGAGGTTTCTAGACTTGCCCCAGGGGATGTAAGAGGGGTTGAGGTTTCTAGACTTGCCCCAGGGTTAGTAAGAGGGGTTGATGTTTCTAAACTTACCCCAGGGGCAGTAAGAGGGGTTGAGGTTTCTAGACTTACCCCAGGGGTAGTAAGAGGTGTTGATGTTTCTAGACTTATCATAGGGGTAGTAAGAAGGGTTGAGGTTTCTAGACTTGCCCCAGGGGTAGTAAGAGGGGATGGGGTTTCTAGACTTACCCCAGGGGTAGTAAGAGGGGATGGGGTTTCTAGACTTACCCCTGGGTTAGTAAGAGGGGTTGATGTTTCTAAACTTACCCCAGGGGCAGTAAGAGGGGTTGAGGTTTCTAGACTTGCCCCAGGGGATGTAAGAGGGGTTGATGATTCTAGAATTTCCCCAGGGGATGAAAGAGGGGATGGTGTTTCTAGACTTACCCCAGGGGTAGTAAGAGGGGTTGAGGTTTATAGACTTACACTACGGAGATGTCTGAGGGGTTGAGGTTGTCCAGAGACAGAGGAAACACTGCCCAGTCAGTGAGTACCTCTCCTTGTAAGGTTACATTCTGGATTATACCCTGTAAGACAGAAAGGTAATCCACAGTTTACTCAATATACATGTTGTATTGTATCAAAATCACTACATTCACCAAAGGCCAGTTATAGTTTTATACATCATTGAAAAGAATTTTATTATATTATAGTAAAATCGACAAGAAACTTCAGGCTTTAGATTTCTAGGAGCATAACCATTAAGGGTTCCTGAAACATTCTGCTCATCACGTTAGTTTAAAATAACCTTTGTGTTTTGAAGATTAATCAGTTTGGAAATATGTGATATCAAAGATTCACTTTCTACACAAACAATATTTATGTAGGAACTAAACATGTCGCAACATTTCAAGACCGACTGGTCCCTTTGTCAAGCTATGAATCATAGCTTGACAAAGGGACCAGTCGGTCTTGAAACATTGTGACACGTTCAATACCTACATTGTTTGTGTAGAAAGTAAAACTTTGATATAACCTTGGTGTTGTTTATGTATGTATACCATGGTGTTGTCTATATTTACCTTGGTGTTGTTTATGTGTGTATACCATGGTGTTGTTTATTTGTGTATACCATGGTGTTGTCTATATTTACCTTGGTGTTGTTTATGTGTGTATACCATGGTGTTGTTTATGTGTGTATACCATGGTGTTGTTTATGTGTGTATACCTTGGTGTTGTTTATATTTACCTCGGTGTTGTTTATGTGTGTATACCATGGTGTTGTTTATGTGTGTATACCTTGGTGTTGTTTATATTTTCCTCGGTGTTGTTTATGTGTGTATACCATGGTGTGGTTTATGTGTGTATACCATGGTGTTGTTTATATTTCCCTTGGTGTTGTTTATGTGTGTATACCTTGGTGTTGTTTATGTGTGTATACCATTGTGTTGTTTATATTTACCTTGGTGTTGCTTATGTGTGTATACCATGTTGTTGTTTATATTTACCCTGGTGTTGATTATGTGTGTATACCATGGTGTTGTTTGTATTTACCTTGGTGTTGTTTATGTGTGTTTACCATGGTGTTGTTTATATTTACCTTGGTGGTGGTGTTGTTGTGTGTATATCAGTGTTGTTTATATTTACCATGGTGTTGTTTATTTTTACCTTGGTGTTGTTTATGTGTGTATGCCATGTTGTTGTTTATATTTACCCTGGTGTTGATTATGTGTGTATACCATGGTGTTGTTTGTATTTACCTTGGTGTTGTTTATGTGTGTTTACCATGGTGTTGTTTATATTTACCTTGGTGTTGCTTATGTGTGTATACCATGTTGTTGTTTATATTTACCCTGGGGTTGGTTATGTGTGTATACCATGGGGTTGTTTATATTTACCTTGGTGGTGGTGTTGTTGTGTGTATATCAGTGTTGTTTATATTTACCATGGTGTTGTTTATTTTTTCCTTGATGTTGTTAATATTAAACTTGGTGTTGTTTATATTTACCTTGGTGTTGGTTATGTGTGTATACCATGGTGTTGTTTATATTTACCTTGGTGGTGGTGTTGTTGTGTGTATATCAGTGTTGTTTATATTTACCATGGTGTTGTTTATTTTTACCTTGATGTTGTTAATATTAAACTTGGTGTTGTTTATATTTACCTTGGTGTTGTTGTTGTTGTGTGTATACCAGTGTTGTTTATATTTACTTTGGTGTTGTGTGTATACCAGTGTTGTTTATATTTATCATGGTGTTGTTTATTTTTACCTTAATGTTGTTAATATTTACCTTGTTGTTGTTTATATTTACCTTGGTGTTGTTGTTGTTGTGTGTATACCAGTGTTGTTTATATTTACCTTGGTGTTGTTTTTGTGTGTGTATACCAGTGTTGTTTATATTTACCATGGTGATGTTGTTGTGTGTATACTAGTGTTGTTTATATTTACCTTGGTGTTGTTGTTGTTGTGTGTATACCAGTGTTGTATATATTTATCTCAGTGTTGTTTATTTTTACCTTGGTGATGTTTATATTTACCTTGGTGTTGTTTATATTTACGATGGTGCGGTTTATATTTACCTTGGTGTTGTTAATATTGACCATGGTGTTGTTTATATTTACATTGGTGTTGTTTATATTTACCTTGGTGTTGTTTATATTTACCTTGGTGTTGTTTATATTTACCTTGGTGTTGTTTAAATTTACCTTGGTGTTGTTTATATTGACCATGGTTTTGTTTATATCTACCTTGGTGTTATTTATATTTACCTTGGTGTTATTTATATTTACTTTGGTGTTGTTGTGAGTATACCAGTGTTGTTAATATTTACCATGGTGTTGTTTATATTTACCTTGGTGTTGTATATATTTACCTTGGTGTTGGTTATGTGTGTATACCTTGGTGTTGTTTATATTTACCTTGGTGTTGTTTATATTTACCTTGGTGTTGTTTAAATTTACCTTGGTGTTGTTTATATTGACCATGGTTTTGTTTATATTTACCTTGGTGTTGTTGTTGTGAGTATACCAGTGTTGTTAATATTTACCATGGTTTTGTTTATATTTACCTTGGTGTTGTATATATTTACCTTGGTGTTGTTTATATTTACCTTGGTGTTGTTTATATCTACCTTGGTGTTGTTTATATCTACCTTGGTGTTATTTATATTTACCTTGGTGTTGTTGTTGTGAGTATACCAGTGTTGTTTATATTTATCATGGTGTTGTTTATATTTACCTTGGTGTTGTTTATATTTACCTTGGTGTTGTTTATATTTACCTTGGTGTTGTTGTTGATACCACTGCCATAGTTGATGTGTCCCTGGTTCTCCACCAATATGTCCAGTGTTGAACCCTGCTTGCCAGTTATTGTAACACTAGCAGACTTTTCCCTGATAATGACACCCTGGGGTACCTGAGTAACAGCCAGCAATACATATAACTAGTATAGGGATAATGACACCCTGGGGTACCTGAATACCAGTGTTGTTTATATTTATCATGGTGTTGTTTATATTTACCTTGGTGTTGTTTATGTGTGTATACCATGGTGTTGTTTATATTTACCTTGGTGTTGCTTATATCTACCTTGGTGTTGTTTATATCTACCTTGGTGTTATTTATATTTACCTTGGTGTTGTTTATATTTACTTTGGTGTTGTTGTGAGTATACCAGTGTTGTTAATATTTACCATGGTTTTGTTTATATTTACCTTGGTGTTGTTGTTGATACCACTGCCATAGTTGATGTGTCCCTGGTTCTCCACCAATATGTCCAGTGTTGAACCCTGCTTGCCCGTTATTGTAACACTAGCAGACTTTTCCCTGATAATGACACCCTGGCGTACCTGAGTAACAGCCAGCAATACATATAAATAGTATAGAGATAATGACACCCTGGGGTAACTGAGTAACAGCCAGAAATACATATAACTAATATAGAGATAATGACACCCTGGGGTACCTGATTAAGAGCCAGAAATACATATAACTAGTATAGAGATCTTGGTGTTGTTGTGGTGAGTATACCAGTGTTGTTAATATTTACCATGGTTTTGTTTATATTTACCTTGGTGTTGTTGTTGTGAGTATACCAGTGTTGTTAATATTTACCATGGTTTTGTTTATATTTACCTTGGTGTTGTTGTTGTGAGTATACCAGTGTTGTTTATATTTATCATGGTGTTGTTTATATTTACCTTGGTGTTGTATATATTTACCTTGGTGTTGGTTATGTGTGTATACCTTGGTGTTGTTTATATTTACCTTGGTGTTGGTTATATCTACCTTGGTGTTGTTTATATTTACCTTGTTGTTGTTGTTGATCCCACTGCCATAGTTGATGTGTCCCTGGTTCTCCACCAATATGTCCAGTGTTGAACCCTGCTTGCCAGTTATTGGAACACTAGCAGACTTTTCCCTGATAATGACACCCTGGCGTACCTGAGTAACAGCCAGCAATACATATAAATAGTATAGAGATAATGACACCCTGGGGTACATGAGTAACAGCCAGCAAAACATATAACTAGTATAGAGATAATGACACCTTACCTTGGTGTTGTTTATATTGACCATGGTGTTGTTTATATCTACCTTGGTGTTGTTTATATTTTCCTTGGTGTTGTTGTTGATACCACTGCCATAGTTGATGTGTCCCTGGTTCTCCACCAATATGTCCAGTGTTGAACCCTGCTTGCCCGTTATTGTAACACTAGCAGACTTTTCCCTGATAATGACACCCTGGCGTACCTGAGTAACAGCCAGCAATACATATAACTAGTATAGAGATACTGACACCCTGGGGTACCTGAGTAACAGCCAGCAACACATATAACTAGTATAGAGATAATGACAGCCTGGAGTTCCTGAGTAACAGCCAGAAATACATATAACCAGTATAGAGATAATGACACCCTGGGGTACCTGATTAAGAGCCAGAAATACATATAACTAGTATAGAGCCTTGGTGTTGTTTATATCTACCTTGGTGTTATTTATATTTACCTTGGTGTTGTTGTTGTGAGTATACCAGTGTTGTTAATATTTACCATGGTTTTGTTTATATTTACCTTGGTGTTGTTGTTGATACCACTGCCATAGTTGATGTGTCCCTGGTTCTCCACCAATATGTCCAGGGTTGAACCCTGCTTGCCAGTTATTGTAACACTAGCAGACTTTTCCCTGATAATGACACCCTGGGGTACCTGAGTAACAGCCAGAAATACAATTCAGGAATGGGGTTTGAGCACAAAAACTGAGCTAGCGCATGGTTTCATAAACACAGGTCCAGCGTATCCCAGTTCATCAACAGGAAACTATGCTAGATTAAAGATCAACTGTTAGAAAGGAGCTAGTCTTTATCTCTTTTCATTAATGTATGAGCTTTATTTCCTTACGTTAACATATGCTGTATACTTCAATCATGAAAACATTACCAGGTTCATGTAGATACGGCTACTGTAATTTTACAAATAAAAGATATCTCAATACCAGTAGATTGTCATATATATGTAGGAGTTATGGAAATGGAAATGCTACCTAAGAGTGAAGATTGCTGATACTTTTACCTGAAATTTAGAAGTTTCATGTCCTCCATCCCTACATAGACTATTTTTCTCCATCTTACTATCTGGGAATTACCCCATACATATACTGTAGTTGAATTTTTCAATCATGATATCTTTATGCGATATATAATTGTATGAAATCTTGTAAATTGCTGATTTTATAATATGTTTGATTTTACCTTGTCGACCATGACATAGCCACGATCTCTGACCCCTGGTACAGCCAGGGTCTGGGAAACCACACTCTTCTTCAGGATGTGTCGGTACAAGGCAAATCCCTGGTACTGGAATATCACACAAGTCACGACAAACTTAGCATACACCAGCTACACATACAACATCACAGCTCAATATTTATAGCTACAAAAAAGATCAACAAGATGTTGGTGAAACTCAATTTCAAAACTTTCTCTCTACTAACTGTACGTCAAGTGATTTACTATGACTTACTACATATCTTGTATTAAGTGCCCCCCTAGCTCTCCACCCTCACATTGCATATGAAAAAAATGTGTTAGTTACACACTCCAATCCCAGATCTTTAACATTTTTTGTTGCAACTCTTCACCATTTTGTAGAAAATTGATAAAAAATGTTGTCATAATGGAGGTATTCCATTTGATGAGCCTGTGTTAATGTTGACACCGTGATAGTTACAAAACTTTTACGGTAGCAAGTAAAAGTAAGTTAAACAAGTAAAAACTTCATGACATCATATCTGACCAGAGGGATCTCCTACCTGGCCTACAGACTCCATGGTCACTGGGTACTGGGACTTGATGGGACCCTTGGGACTCAGCTGAGTGATAGCATCTTGTAATGTAGACACCTAGATCATCACAAAATAGAAAACATCTCATTAACAAAGAAGCTATAATTAAATGAACTTTTAAAATTGATTCTTTAATTCCGGCATCCTATTTCAATTAATTTAAATATAGAAAATGTTTACAAATATGGAATGATAACACACAGATAGTAAGCTGTATGACAAGGAAAATCTATCCCTGTAGTGTTTTACTAATTGAATGTAAAAAATCACACTGCACCAAAACCATCCCTTTGTACAAAAATCTCAGTGTGATATGTTATGTAAATTATCATAAAAATTAATTACAATTCATTAAGATATCAAGAAAAACGAAGCCACACTTACAAACTTCATGTTCACTTCCCCATAACGAGCTTTCTTTGTGGAAGGCGGTATCGGTATATCAGGCAGGGTTCGGTACTGTAACACATCAAGGGGATCATTCATTCTATACATCCAGGTGAAGTACCGTAAATACTATGTTAATTTTCAGCAATGTTCACGGGAAATAGTTTCCATTCATTAAGAATCTCAAGAAAATGTATTGCACAAACTAGTCATTTTTTATCAATTTCAGAATATAACGTATGGGATGTCACTGAACATTTTCTATCAGAAAATATATTTTCCTACCTTTGATATGATCTGCCGTAATTCAATGTACTTGGTAGTTATGTCTCCTGCCTCAGTGAGTGGACCGTCGTAGTCGTAGCTTGTGGGGACAGGTTGGAACGGAGAATAGTTGGCACCTGCAATATACAGTCAAACTCTCAATCAAACAAAACGGCTTCAGGGTCAAACCTGTGTGCTTTTTAAGAGTGTTGCATGGAAAATACTAGTATGTACCAACGAAGGCTGGTATTAAAATCCTTGTTTAAGTTAGGAGTGGTACTGATACCAGTTTCATTTTACAGGTATACTGCTGTTTTAGTACAGAAGTACTGGTAATTTATTAAATATCAATGTTACCATTCATCAAGTCTATGGAATGTTAAAATTAGATAATGATTGACAGAAGCTGTTGGTCCTTTAGCGGCTATACCGAACATAAACATATACTAAAGTGTATACTGAACATATATATATACTGAAGTGTATACTGAACAAAAACATATACTGAAGTGTATACCGAACATAAACATATACTGAAGAGTATACTGAACATAAACATATACTGTAGTGTATACTGAACATAAACATATACTGAATTGTATACTGAACATAAACATATACTGAAGCGTATACTGAACATAAACATATACTGTAGTGTATACTGAACATAAACATACACTTCAGTATATGTTTATGTTCAGGATACACTTCAGTATATATATATGTTTAGTATACACTTCAGTATATGTTTATGTTTAGTATACACTTCAGTATATGTTTATGTACAGTATTCACTTCAGAATATGTGTATGTTCAGTATACACTTCAGTATATTTTTATGTTCAGTATACATTTCAGTATACCCTTCAGTATATGTTTATGTTCAGTGTACACTTCAGTATACCCTTCAGTATATGTGTATGTTCAGTATACACTTCAGTATATGTGTATACCGAACATAAACATATACTGAAGTGTATACTGAACATACACATATACTGAAGGGTATACTAAACATACACATATACTGAAGTGTATACGGAAGTGTATACTTAACATACACATATAGTGAAGTGTATACTGAAGTGTATACTGAACATAAACATATACTGAAGTGTATATTGAACATACACATATACTGAAGGGTATACTGAACATACACATATACTGAAGGGCATACTGAAGTGTATAGTGAACATAAACATATACTGAAGTGTATACTGTACATAAACATATACTGAAGGGTATACTGAAGTGTACACTGAACATAAACATATACTGAAGTATATACTGTACATAAACATATCCTGAAGGGTATACTAAACATACACATATACTGAAGTGTATACTGAACAAACACATATACTTAAAATGTAAACTGAACCTAAATATATACTGAAGTGTATACTGTACATAAACATATACTGAAGGGTATACTGAAGTGTACACTGAACATAAACATATACTGAAGTATATACTGTACATAAACATATACTGAAGGGTATACTAAACATACACATATACTGAAGTGTATACTGTACATAAACATATACTGAAGTGTATACTGAACACGGACATATACTGAAGTGTATACTGAACAAACACATATACTGAAGTGTATACTGAACATATATATATACTTAAGTGTATACTGAACATAAACATATACTGAAGTGTATACTGAACATAAACATTTACTGAAGTGTATACTGAACATACACATATACTGAAGTGTATACTGAACATAAACATATACTGAAGTGTATACTTAACATAAATATGTATTGAAGTGTATACTGAACACGGACATATACTGAAGCTACCAGTAGTAGTTAAGGATGTACACCTCTGAGAAGTCAAACATTTCCTGTAATGAACTTTTTTTCTTATATTGATTTTTGGAAAAAGGAGATAATAGCATAGTAGAAAATGCAAAAAAAAATATATGTCCATGTGTTCGTTTTTGCGCTATGATCGGTCAAAGATACCAATATAACACAATAGGTGATTTAAGGTGAATTTTCAGGTTTTGACCATTTGCAGAACAAATTCATACAATTTCTTCCAAATGTGTTATCAGATATGTATGAATGTTTGTAGAATTGATAAAAATATTATTTTCTTTTCAATTATGGAAGTAAAATTTCTTAATCTTATTCATTTTACTCAGAAATGCGATTTTAGTTACCCCTACCCCTTATTTTTCAATGAAAAAATACACATTTTTTGCAGATTAAACGCTTGATATAAAAAAATCCTGTATTAAACTTTTTTTAGTATTCAATGAATCAAAAGAAAATGTGTTTCTTTTTCTAAACAGCCACAAAAATGGGGGGTCGGTGTGCTTCTTTTTTTGTCCCATTATTATTTGTGTTATTTTTCACCTTTTTCGGGGTCAAAAATCAAAAGTGCTTCAGTTACCCTAATATGTAAAAAAAAATACCAATAATATATAACTTTCCACTTTTTTGCATATTATTTTAATCATAGTGAACATTATAAAGTTGTACAGCAAAATTGAACCTGCTACATTTAACAATGGTGACACGATGACAACTTAAATTCTTGTAAAAAATGTTCTACACACAACAGACATCTAGTTTTTTGACATGTTTTTCAGATGTGTGTTTGCTATTAAACCTATCATAATTTGTTCAATATTACAAAAACCCGTTACACCAGTTCAAAACGAGACTTGAACGTGACTGAAACCTCAGAAGAGTACATCCTTAAGTGTCAATTGATGGGTGTTGAAGCAAAAAAAGAATTTCATAATTTACTACTGTTTATAGAGAATTTTTTCCCCAGGCAAATTTTCATCTTTCACCAGTAAAACAACAATAACCCACTTTTAATTTCGCCCTTCTTATTTAGTTTCGTTGTATTTTACGTTATTTACTAATATTCGTTGTAATGATAAAGCCCTCACAACAGAGGGCCAAACAGGCAAAAATTAAACTGCAGCGAAAATTTCGATATTACGTAAAGAATGTCCTTAAAATTACTTCAAAATAAAAAGTGTCAGTTTATAAATGAGCCTGCTGTTTTATCATGATATCAGAGAAATATTTTCATTATTAAAATTATTAACAGGATATACTTACCTGTACTAAGTCAGTTCACTGGGGCAATGTATTTACTTTACAGATTTAAATAATGTGTTGCAAAGTACTGCAAATGCAACTTTTTAATGCTTTTATGAGAAACTTTTTCAGGATCCTGCCATAACATACCATTCCAGAAGCCAAAATTGGTTCCACCTTCAAACATATACCTATAAATAAAAGTAATAGATACATGAGCCACTCATACATAATGTTGTCGCATCAGTACACGTGTCTATCACAAATACTGTTGTCACAGGATAATGTGACTCTGTGCTATCATACTTACACATATTAACATTGAAAACCTTGGTTAATTTCAACTTTTACCTTAAACAAAATGAATAAAAGCAGGAAAATTATCTAATAGATTACAATTTACAATCTTTTACTCAACAATTTTTGAAGTTAATCGTAGCCTGAACCCATAGTACCACAGTTTATCTCTTACATGTTAATGTTGGCTCCATAATCCAGAAGGAGGTCAAGACTAGCAGCCACTTTGTTGGTGTCGGTCACTGAATGTTTCTGTCCCCAGTGGTCAAGCCAGCCCGTGTAAAACTCTGAGTTCACCTAAATAGTATAAAAACAATCATTAATTGTAGCATTTGCATTATATTATTAACAGGGAAGTGTATTCTGAGCAATCCATTGTCCCCAACATTCGGAGAAACTTCTGTATAAAAAAAAAACATTTTAAAATATGAAGGGCCATAACTTTGTATATTATGAGCGGGATATAAGACCCAATTTTACCACATGACACTTTGCCATCTACAGAGGAACTTGTATACAAAATTTGACATTTGAAGGTAATATCTAATATGAGATATATCCCAGACATAATGATACATGATGAACAAAAGTATATGTAAAAGACCCACATTTAGGCGGCATTTGTTTCTCATGATCCAAACAGTTGAATTGGTTGTACCAGAGTTGTTCGTTTTTGAAATAAGGTTGGACCTAGTAATCTGCACGGCCTGCATAAATCTTTGCAGGGCTGCCAGGATTTATACCCGAAAATGATACATTTAAAAACAGACATTTAAAAACAGACAAACTGGTTGAACTGGATGTGCGAAAGGGGCCATTCCATCTTTGCGTATTGCAGAGTTATCTTCTCTTGGGAGCAGGGATTGATTGTTACGTCACTTGTTTGTGAGAGAAACGGCATAAATTTTTGAGAAAACGATGTAATTTTCTCACACAGACCAATGACGTAACAATCAATACCTGCTCCCAAGAGAAGATAACTCTTGACGGAATAGTGATGCATGATGAACAAAGGGACATCACTCTGTCTATAATGAGGTACACGTACAAGACCCACATTTAGTTTGCGACACTCTGCCAGTCCAAGAGGTACTCACATACAAAATTTGGCAATTGAAGGTGACAGAGTACATGAGATATATCCCAGACAAAGTGAAGCATGATAAACAAAGGGACATCACTCTATAATGTGTGGCACAAGATCTAACTTCAGTAGGCAACACTCTGCCATCCCAAGAAGTATTCACATACGATATTTGACAAACGCAGGTAAAAACACATTTGAAAATGATTTATGATTAGAAAGTTAATTAAGCACAATTCTCAAGTGTTTAATTTGGTTCTGTTGATGGCACACCTAGGATATTGAAACCTATTAAATTGCTGGTCACCTTCTTATGGATGTTGAAAAGTCATCTTTAATTTGAAATTTGGGTTTTAACTTGAGTCAGTTAAGTTGTAAACACATTGCAGTTGCCATGTCAAGGATAATCCTGGAGGGGGTCATGGGGCCATTGACTCCTCAAAACTGAAATTGACCCCTCCATGTTCCAATTTTATTTTATTTTACATAGAATGGCCCCTCTTAATTTTGATATTGGCTAAAAATAACTGAAAATGCCCACTGCTCTCAAATTCCATTTTTTTCCCTGCCATGTTACACAATAAATGATACCTGTCCAAAGATCTTAGTATAATCTATTTAAACGTATCAGGTTACCTGAATATCAATGAAAAATCTGTATTAATTTGATTTGAGTTTAAAAAATTCAATTTATTTTTAATATTTAAGCGGCTAAAAACCTACCAGAGGACCCTTTGGTTCATAATCTCTCTGTGCCTTAAAGCTGGCTTCTGGGTTCACTGAAATAGACAAAAAGAAATATAAAAAATATAACCACCTACCCATACTTACACTGTATATAACACGTACTTGGTGTGATGGAAACACATAAGTAGTTAGAAACAGTCACTTCATAGGAAAACCAATACCGATTACCTAGTTGCATAAAAATTTCATAAGTTATTTCTTGCAGCTAAAATTAACAGATTTTTTTTTTCACAAGAGATCAAGAGCTGTCACTTACAGGTCACTCCAAAGTCCACTGTGGCGTACACCTCAGGAATGTAACCACACTTGAGGAACCCATCCGAGGCGCCATCAGTAGTGAAGAGGACGACGTCCTTCCCCAGGTGGAACCTGGCCCTGTCACGGAGATGGGAGGTGTAGTTTCTGTCACAGGCAAAGTAACTGCCGTACTCGTTTTCTATCTGGACCATGATTATTGGTCCCCCGTTATTATACAGGAGGGGCTTAAGCTTTGGTAACAGGACATCCATCCACTGGTCTACAAACTTGATGTAAGCTGTTGGTGAAAATGTACAGGATAAAAGTCACAAGGCTATCTTGAAGACTTATGTACATCTAAAACAAATACAATAATGTATCTATTATTTCACATTGTTCAGCCTCCATTTTCTTGTATACAATTAATTTACTATGTTTAACACATGTATGTTATGACTCCTATAAGCTGTACTGCTTTTGGAATAAACTGAATTGAATTTCAAAAAATATCATACATAATAGCCTTATATCTCAGAAACATTTCACGTTTTTGCTCAGTTATTTAGTTTTTTTATCAAAAGAAGATTCACCAAGAAAAAAAGATACCAAACTTAAACATAAAATCACCTTTGGTTTCTCAAATTGGTGTGCAATCAAAAGGAAAAAATGTTTTGGAATGTTACAATCTTTAGTCAAACAGTTAATTGTATATGCATTGTAATTTTACTTTGGGATCTTTATTGATACCCATACCAGTAATTCAAAAAGTTAAAATACTGATATCATTACAAGTTAACTAAACTGTATTATAATTGGGATAATGTTCCATATTACAAAATGTTTTCCTTAATAAAGGCAGCCTTGTAGATAATTCTAGCATATTCTTAAGTTCTCCTTACTTGGATCCATGGTTCTGAATACTGTTGCTGGATTTTCTTTTAGTATCCAAGCAGGAAATCCACCCTATAAATACAAACAGAAATATGAACAAAGAAAAATATTGTAGATTAGAGATCTGAAATTATTCCTTTGGCTTCAAAACTATCAATGTCTGTAAAAATCTTCTTTTAGACAGCTTAGAGAGACAAGAACAATTAGAGACCTTAAAATTAGTGCGGACAATCATTTTAACAATCTTGAACTGAAATTTAATCATCTAGCTACTACAAAACCACCGACAGAACTGATTTATAAGATCATTGACAAATATCCTGAAAATATCAAAATAACTTTAAAATGTCCTTTTACATACTTGCCAACTCACTATTTAGGAGGGGAGACCCCTAAATTGTTTACCCTTAAATGTTTAGTATTTTCAACCAGTGATTTGCTAAGCTATCCCTACATTATAAGATCTTATTATTTCTTCTGAAAGAACAACTCAAAATCTGTAATTTTAAAGGGTTATTTTGTCTCTTGGGGGGTATATACATGTACACATTCTTTATTTATGTTTTCATTTTGAGAATGCACAATCTCCCAAAAAGAAATTTCAAAAAGTGGGCAAGTATGCTTTTACTACAGATTAATTATCTGGTTCTCATCAATAACTTACAAAGTCTCATTCACCACAGATGTATGGTCCTGACCTCATCAATAACTTACAAAGTCTCATTCACCAAAGATGTATGGTCCTAACCTCATCAATAACTTACAAAGTCCCATTCGCCACAGATGTATGGTCCTGCCCTCATCAATAACTTACAAAGTCCCATTCGTCGCAGATGTATGGTCCTGACCTCATCAATAATTTACCAAGTCCCATTCACCACAGATGTATGGCCCTGCCCTTATCAATAACTTACAAAGTCCCATTCGCCGCAGATGTATGGTCCTGCCCTCATCACAACCAGCAAGCCCACATCCTGGGCAGTTTTTAGGAAGGCCACCAAATCCTGCTGTCCTGTAAAGTCATATACATCTTTCTCTGGCTGGTGAATATTCCATGGTACATACCTGAATCAAAACATAATACACAAACATAACAAGAGGCCCATGGGCCTTAACGGTCACCTGAGTCTATAGTATTTATTTTTGTTGTTGAAATATGTACCAATTTGAGTAAAAAATAGTATAATGTTAACTTAACTTTGTCAGGACCATGAGCTGATCATTCCTAGACCAATTTTAAGTGAGATCGGCCTATTAGAACTTAGTAGCAAAATAGCGGCCATGGCAGCCAAATTGTATTTCTGATTGACCCGAAAAATAACAACACTTTGTCAGGACCATGATTCGATCATTCCTACAAAGTTTCAGTTCAATCGGCCAAGTAGATCTTTACTTTAAGTTTGAAATAGTTTACCAAAATGGCAGCCGTGGTGGCCATATTGGATTTCTGATCGACCCGAAAAATAACAACACTTTGTCAGGACCATGAGTCAATCATTCCTACAAAGTTTCAGTTCAATCGGCCTAGCAGAACTTGACTTTAAGTTTGAAATATGTTTTCAAAATGGTGGCCGTGGCGGCCATATTGGATTTATGATTGACCTGAAAAATAACAACACTTTGTCAGGACCATGAGTCGATCATTCCTACAAACTTTAAGTTCAATCGGTCCAGCAGAACTTGACTTTAAGTTTGAAATAGGTTTTCAAAATGGCGGCCGTGGCGGCCATATTGGATTTCTGATCGACCCGAAAAATAACAACACTTTGTCAGGACCATGAGGCGATCATTCCTACCAACTTTCAGTTCAATCGGCCCAGCAGAACTTGACTTTAAGTTTGAAATGTAAAATGTTAACGGACGACGGACGACGACGGACGAAAACGGATAGCAATAGGTCACTTGAGCTAAAGCTCAGGTGACCTAAAAAGCCCATTTTTCATGATTATGTTTATAAATGCTTAAAGGTTTTGAAATAATTTTCATATATTGCTATAAATTAAAATATATAAAGAAAAAACTCACAGCTGGATGGCATTAAGTCCAGCAGCATACATCTTGAGGAGTCTGTCTTTCCAGTAGGCTTGAGGAACCCGGCTGTAGTGGATACTCCCGGACACATAGCGGAATGGCTTCCCATCCTTCAGGAATGTGTTCTTGTCGTAGTCTAATGTGAAATTAGCACCATTCACCTGTAAAATTATCAAGTTGTCATAAAGTTCATAACACAGAAAAACAGGTATCATGAAGAATTACATATTTGAAGAACTGAGATTTAATTGACTTACGTAAATATACAAGTAAATGAGAAGGAATCAACCAATGTTTGACATCTTGATGTACAGACAAGTTCCAGTTTGAAAAAATAAATTCAATGCAAATGATAAACCAAACCAGAACTTCCTTAAAACATTTGAATTTTATAAGAGTGACAAGGCTTATCACTGATTTAATTTGAGTGTTTTAATTTCATTCAAAAAGAAATTTATTTTTATAATTTATTTCAGCAATAATTAAGTAAAAGTATATTCGAATACTTTTTCATTAAAAAGTTATTTGTGTCTAGCTCTTTGTATAAAACTGGCATTAATTTCGCATTTATTTGTACGTTGTATTGTAAAATTATTTTATTCATATATTTCAATTTTCTGCAAAACGGTCCGCGCACGAGTATTGCTTACGAGTTTGTATGTCAAATACATATGATGAGGTAATACAATAGTTTAGACGTGAGAGCAACCGCCCTATTGCTAACGATTCTATGGGTAAATTATTTAATACCTTACCCTAAATGCTGTCCACACCTAGGATACACCCCCACCATAAAAAGACAATCAAGACTCTCTAGACAACTTCGAATATTCATGACTTGTTTGTCTATCAAAACGATGCATTACACACTTATGCACTGAACAGTTTCAGTCAACTCGAAATCATCGAATTAAATCAAAAATGAAACAATTACCTCGGAGCATAACGACAATAAGCTGATGATAGTGGTTAACGACACGACCGCAAGATTTGATACTGCCGCCATTTTGTTTGATCATGTGATCGTATATAGCTGTACAGTCATGTGATATTTTGAGTGCGTTCGGTTAAGAAGATTTTGGAAAGTAATCTGTCGTGAGCAATTAACATTCTCCTTTAATTAACAATCATTTGTGCCATATTGTAAGTCACATAAAAACACCAATGACACATAAATAAAACAGAGATCCCGAGTCTCTTAATGCATGGTTCCAAACTTGGTTAGTAACATTCAATCCAGAAAAAAAACTGAGGTAATTTTTGTTTCAAACTTGGTTGAAATTGATGAAGATTTACAATTAGAACTTAATGGCGAATTTTTAAATTTTACTGATCATCATAAACATTTAGGTGTAATTTTTAATTCAAGTGCAAAATGGGGGAATCATATTTGTGCAATATATACTTCAGTTATGAAAGAAGTCAACGTCTTACGTAGACTAAAATACTTATTAAATCGTGATAATCTTTTAAAGATTTATCAATCATTTATTTTACCAGTTTTAGAATATGCTTGTGAATTGTGGGATGGTTGTACAACTTATGAAACAGAAATGTTAGAGAAAGCCCAAAGAAAAGCGTCTCGTATTATAACTGGTCATCCTCCATATGCCCGAATTGAAGACTTACTTTTTGAAACTGGTATAGAAACTCTTTCGAATCGAAGAAAACGCAGAAAAATCCAACTTTTGTATAAAATGCATAACAAATTAACTCCAGACTATTTAAATTCTCTATTGCCATCTTCCGTTGCAGAAAATAATCGTTATACCCTTAGAAACAATGATGATTATAGAATTCGTCCTTTCGGGCTTTCTCTAACAAATTCATCTTTTATACCTTCAACTCTTCGCGGTTGGAATTCATTGGACCTTTCAATACGATCATTAACCTCATTACATTCTTTTAAAAACTCGTTAATTTCAAATGTGCTATCTCCTTCACCAATCTACTTAGGATTCGGTGAACGTAAATTGAATATTTTGCATACTAAACTTAGACATTAGTGTAGTCCACTTAAATATGATCTTTTTAGAGTAAATCTGGTTGATAGTCCAGTTATTGTGGCCATCCCTTTTGAAAATGCCTTTCACTTTTTTTGTGAGTGCTTACTTTTTAACAACGAAAGACATACCCTGCTCCTAAATTTGAATGCCTTGCATGTTGATTTTAATTTAGAATTGCTATTGTTTGGAAATAGTCAACTTTCGGTAGAAAACAACTTAAGTATCTTTAGACATGTGCATCAACACATCAAATCCAGCAATAGGTTTTGATAGTTATAATTACTTTTCTATTTTTATTTATGTGTAAGTTGTTATATGTGTTTATGAAATTGAATTTCATTATTTTGCCTGATTTATTTGTTACATTGATTCTGTTCATTTTGAAATTACTCTACCAGGATACATATGTCATGAAATCTGTATAATTTATAATTTATTCAAATGCGGATCGATTTCTCAGTTTACACGTTTACTTTTCTAGGTAACACCCCTCCCCTCCATCTCCAGTGTAAAGAGAGATATAGTGTACAATTATAAAGTGGAAAAATATATCGCAACATGTAAAGGGAAACAAAATACCTTTCTCCAAAAATGGATACTCTTTTCTAACTTAATGATACCATAGCTTATCTACCAAATATTGTGTATTATTCACATATGCACCTATAACTTGTACCTAATTCGATTGCCAACCGAGATGTGTATTATCCAATTTCACAGGTACTACATGTGTTATGCACTTCTGGGAGGGGAATTCGAAAGTTATACTTAAATATCCAAAGTACGAAAGAAAGAGTGTATGCAAGTTGTGTTTTTGTACTATCTTTTGTAAAATAACATGTGAAAAAAAGAACAAAAAATGTTGAAAAAAAACACACAAAAAAACTAAAAAACATACATATTAGGGCGAAACAGCCTTGGGCGAACGGGATTTTGGCCTAGAGCGAAACGGCCCGAATCCAAGAAAAAAAGGAAATTACGAGGCGATTAACGCTCGCCCCTAGCACTTTGTGTATCTTGGTCTGCACGCTCGCCCCTAGCACATTGTGTACCTTGGTCTGCACGCTCGCCCCTTGCACCTTGTGTACCTTGGTCTGCACGCTCGCCCCTATCACCTTATGTTCCTTGGTCTGCACGCTCGCCCCTAGCACCTTGTGTATTTTGATCTGCACGCTCGCCCCTAGCACATTGTTTACCTTGGTCTGCACGCTCGCCCCTTGCACCTTGTGTACCTTGGTCTGCACGCTCGCCCCTAACACCTTATGTACCTTGGTCTGCACGCTCGCCCCTAGCACCTTATGTACATTGGTCTGCACGCTCGCCCCTAGAACCTTGTGTACCTTGGTCTGCACGCTCGCCCCTAACACCTTATGTACCTTGGTCTGCACGCTCGCCCCTAGCACCTTATGTACATTGGTCTGCACGCTCGCCCCTAGCACCTTGTGTACCTTGGTCTGCACGCTCGCCCCTAGAACCTTGTGTACCTTGGTCTGCACGCTCGCCCCTAGCACCTTGTTTACCTTGGTCTGCACGCTCGCCCCTAGCACCAATTGACAATTGTTTTATTCTCATAAACAATAACAATAAAGTGTAGAGAATACATATATACAAATGGGTGGCAATAATACATGGTGGAACAGGATGGACATTAGTATTGTAAATTAATTATGTCATTAATATTGGTAATACATTTTGCCAATGATGTCAATTCATGTTGTGTTACATAATTGAATAATGTATGATATTTAAATGTGTTTCTTGGTCTGCACGCTCGCCCCTAGCACCTTGTGTACCTTGGTCTGCACGCTCGCCCCTAGCACCTTGTGTATCTTGGTCTGCACGCTCCGGTTGAACAAGGTGGACACACATTTTTTCGCACCGGCGATGGACTGCTTTATCAACTCTACACAACATGGAGCAGGATCGTGTACATAGGATACAACATAAACATGTGACGAAGGTTTGTGTGTTTATCTTTCGGAAAAATAGACTTTGATAGTATCTTTCTTTGTGCACGCATTACGCTACACCCGTGTACCGAGTAACGTACGAGTACCGCTCACGAAGTCCACGCGTCGCTGTTACCTGGGGCGTGTCCCTAGAACTATGAACATGTCTGATAACTCCACTTCAGAGATACTTACCCAGACTAGAGAAGTTTTGTCTGCAGGCGAGAATAGTCAACTCAACCATATTAGTTTCAAGTTTTATTCGAACTTTAGGCCATTGGCCCATCAGTATACAATACATATGATACACAAATCATGGACAATGTACAGATAATGAAGGCAATCATATTCCATTATAATACCCTTAATTTGTTTGCCTCATAGATGAATTTTCCTAGTATACACAATTCTTTAATATTATGGACACTCAATAACTGAACGGCTTTAAACACAGATGTTTTTTTCCAATAATAGCTTTTGATAAAACGTGATCTGAGATTTTGGAATTTAGAACAGACTAATAAAAAATGAAATTCGTCCTCTACTTCAGAGAGGGAGTTACACTGTTTACAATATCTGTGTTCTCTAGGTATATTTTTATACCTTCCAACTTCTACAGCCAAAGAATGTGTAGATGTACGGATTCGAGTTAACAAATGCGATATTTCATTGGTATATATTTTGTGAGGTAAAATTGTAATGATTCTCCGAAATCAATGATATTTGTATACAATAAACATTTTGGAGTGTTTTCCAGTGAGGCCCTACGGGATTGTATGCCTTGATCAAAAATTCTTTGTTTTATCAATGGTAATAACACATTTTGCTGAGAAATACATGGATTTAACCAAACATCATTAAGACCTAGATTATTCAATTCAAATCATTTTTACTACAACATTTTAATCAAAATCTATAGGAAGTGGAAATGATACAATTTTAAGATTTTAAGATCTTAAACCAATATTTTATCATTCTAATTTTTCTCATACAAACTAGAGGTAATCGTCCCAATTCAAGATATACCATGTTGTTATTGGCCGATTTCTTCACTTTTAGTAATTTCTTACAAAAATGTAAATGTACATGTTCAATCTCTGGAGCTTTGTGCATACATCAAATTTCACTTGCATGAAAAAGGATACTGCTTACATATGTATCGAAAAGGTGTAGCATAGTTTTTACATTTAAGTTTAATGCTGAACACTTTGAAAATAGTGCAAACATAGCTTTTCGTCCTTGAATAGCTAATTGTTTTTGAATAGAAGTGAATTTATCATTGTAATTTAGAATAACACCTAGGTAGGGAAATTGAGCCACACATTCGACTTTACTTCCTTTGTAATACCATCTGACCATTTTTCATCATTATGTAATCTTCCACCTTTTCTAAAAAATGCAATTTTTGTTTTTTCCGTATTTGCAGTTAAACTCCATTTTGTAGAGTATTTAAAAGGGCTATCAAGAAGAGTCTGCAGACCCTGTACAGATTCCGAAAAAACAACCAAATCATCTGCGTACATTAACAGAAACAAACTTAACTCACCGAAGTCATAATAAGTTGCACCTTTTTCAATAAAGGACATTTCAAAATCATTGATGAAAAGTGAAAACAGCAATGGTGACAAAATTTCCCCTTGCAATAAACCGACAATGTTTTCAAAAAAGTTAGAGCATTTCCCATTAATTGAAACACAGGATTTTACTGATTTATAAAGCGACTCAAGGTGGCTCCACACTTTCGCAATTAACCAGCAAAATTCGTTGAAACTTTCATATAATGGTTATGCAACTACGTAGAGTTGATTTTATGAAAATCTAAACATTCCGATAGTTTGGGGACTTTTTTGGAAAAAATACCAAAAAATTGAATTTTCGTCAATTTTAATATTTTCCGGTGGGTTTTTTTGTGTGTGGCATTGTTCGGAACAATAACAACAATAATAAAATGAAAAGAAGCATTTCTAATTAACCCTACAAATATTTTATTTATCGCAAAATAGGTAACACATGTTACACAAAGTGTTTTTTATTGAATTTGTACGGATAAAAGTGATTATCTACAAGCTAAAAGCAAACAGGACACAACGATCTATACATATAGAATGGGAAATTGAACAAAATATACACAATGGCTTTATAATTAATTTATTTTACATTTTACA